GGCATTTTGGCTTTTGCGCCCTTTCATTGGTTCTTGGCTTTGGCTTGCCCGCATCCTCAGCATCACTGTATGCATGTGTGTATGTAATCTATGTAATCTAACGTATGTGTGTCTGTCTGTATGTATGCACATGTTCGAACATCATAGGGGAAGCCCCCCCTGCTTTTTATATTCTATCGCACCCTTGCTTGAATCATTGCACCCCGAATTGAATCATCACTTTCTCGAGGGGGGGGCCGCCAAGCCCCGCCCCGCTACTTTTTAGATCTTTTACAGAGGTTTAACTGCACCCCTATAGGAATCATCACTTCTTCAAACATCCAGTTTCGCGAGATCATGCCATGAAATACAACATGTTATGTAAACTATGATATGTATGTATGTATGATGTAATGTAATGTAAATGTAATGTAAATGTATTGTAAATGTAATGTACATGTAATGTAACTGCAGTGTAAATGCAATGTAAAGGTAATGCAAATGCAATGTACATGTAATGTGCACGCAAATGTAATCTACATGTAATGTAAATGTAAATGTAATGTGAGTGTGAATGTAAATGTAAATGTAATGTAATGTAATGCAATGTAAGGTAACGTAAGGTAATGTAATCTAATGTATGTATGACTTCTTTGAACATCATAGAGAAAGCCCCCCTCCTCACCCGCTTTTTTATGTTCTATCACACCCTTTCTTGAACCATTGCGCCCCCAATTGAATCATCGCATTTTCGACATCATGGGGGGGGCTGCCGCCCCCCAACCCCTCCTGCTACTTTTCAGATCTTTGCAGAGATTTAGTTGCGCCCCAATTTGAATCATCACAGGTTCGAACATCATGGGGAGGCGGCAGCCGCCTCCCCAACCCCCCTGCATTGAACTGCGTAACTAAGCAAGCTGCTCTGCGCAAGTTGCTCGGCGCAAGTTGCTCGGCGCAAGCGTTCTGATGCAAGTTGCTCTGCGCGAGTTGCTCTTTGGCGCATGTGCGCTGCTTGCAAGTTGCTCTGCGCAAGTTGCTCTGCGCAAGTTGCTTTGTGCAAGTTGCTCTGCGCAAAGCGTACTAGATTTGTACTTAAAATTTGCGATTTTTGACACGGAGCTGCGGGAATGTACTCCGCGTACTGGTTGTTGTATGAAAATTTGCGCTCTTGCAGCCGGAGCTGCGGGAATGTACTCCGCGTACTACTTTTTGTACTTAAAATTTGGCTGGAGCTACAGGAATGTACCCCGCGTACTACTTTTGTACTTTAAATTTACGACTTTGCAGCTGGAGCGGGAATGTACTCCGCGTACTACTTTTGTACTTAAAAATTGCGACTTTGCAGCTGGTGCGGGAATGTACTCCGCGTACTACTTTTGTACTTAAAATTTGCGACTTTCAGCTGGAGCTGTGGGAATGTACTCCGCGTACTACTTTTGTACTGTAAATTCCCGATTTTGCAGCCAGAGCTGCCACAGACAAGGCGGGGGTTGAACCCGCGACCGCACGAATCGGAGAGCAGCCGCGCAAACCACGAGACAATTGCCAAAGACCATTTCGCAAGCCAAAAAACGCAAACAACCTCGAGTTTTTGCACCTCGACCACGCCGATCCCCGCAGAGGGTTCATCCGCGAATGTCAAAAACGCAAAAAACCGTGATCACCACGCCGATCCCCGCAGAGGGTCGCGCGCGCACCGCAAAAAAAACACAGAAAAACACCTTGAGTTTTTGCCCCTCGACTACGGTTCATCCGGGCACCGCAAAAACGCCAAAAAAAAACAGCCTCGAGTTTTTGCACCTCGACCACGCCGATCCCCGCAGAGGGTCGCGCGCGCACCGACAAAAACGCAAAAAACCTCGAGTTTTTGCACCTCGACCACGCCGATCCCCGCAGAGGGTCGCATTCCCGATCGCCGGCAACATCCCCACCCCCCGCCAAGAAAGAGATTCGAAAATACCGAACTCTTTCTCTTTCTTTCCCGCGCGTTAAGTACTTAACCTAACTTACTTAACCTAGCTTACACAGCTGCTAACGCCGAGCCTCTACACCTAGCTTAGCTTAGCTCTATGCACCTAGCTCTATGCACTTGGCTCTATGCACCTGGCACGATGCACTTCGCTCTTTGCACTTGGCTCTGTGCACTTAACTCTATACACTTAACTCCTTACACCTTGCTCTTTGCACTTCGCTCTGAGCACTTGGCTCTATGCGCTTGGCTCTTTGCACTTGGCTCTGCGCAAGTAACTCTATGCTGGTGACTCCATGCTGGTGACTCTGTGCAAGTATCTCCATGGTGGTGACTCTGTGCAAGTCTGGTATCTCTATGCGGGTATCTCCATGCTGGTAACTCTGTGCAAGCTACTCTGTGCTAGTAACTCTACGCGAGTATCTCCATGCTGGTGACTCTGTGCAAGCTACTCTGCGCAAGTTGACCAAGAGCTCCTGGTATCTCGATGCTGGTGACTCTGTGCAAGCTACTCTGCGCAAGTTGACCAGGAGCTCCGCACGGAAGAACCCTTCGCAATGCTTTCGGGAAAAATACAAAAAAGAGAAACATCACAAACTATATCCGCACCTTTCTTTGGGGATCGCCCCTCCACTTTTCTGTTTGAACGGTAAGCCCACCATGCAGTGCCAACCCCCAGAAAGAACAGCAGCCTGAAGCAAGTCAAGCGCCCAGGCAAATCACAACTGGGCGGATTTGTATCAGTGAATCAGCAGACAACGCTTCCTCTCAAGCCATTGACGCCATGTTTTTCCCGAAAGCATCGCGAAGGGTTCTTCCGTGCGGAGCCCTTGGACAAGTTACACAGAGCCAAGTTGCACAGAGCCAAGTTACATAGAGCCAAGTTACATAGAGCCAAATTACATAGAGCCAAGTTACATAGAGCCAAGTTACATAGAGCCAAGTTACATAGAGCCAAGTTACATAGAGCCAAGTTACATAGAGCCAAGTTACATAGAGCCAAGTTACATAGAGCCAAGTTACATAGAGCCAAGTTACATAGAGCCAAGTTACATAGAGCCAAGTTACATAGAGCCAAGTTACATAGAGCCAAGTTACATAGAGCCAAGTTACATAGAGCCAAGTTACATAGAGCCAAGTTACATAGAGCCAAGGTACATAGAGCCAAGTTACATAGAGCCAAGTGGCACAGAGCCAAGTTACATAGACCCAAGTTACCTAGAGCCAAGTTGCACAGAGCCAAGTTGCACAGAGCCAAGTTACATAGAGTCAAGTTACATAGAGCCAAGTTACATAGAGCCAAGTTACATAGAGCCCAGTTACATAGAGCCAAGTTACATAGAGCCAAGCTACATAGAGCCAAGGTACATAGAGCTAAGTTACATAGAGCCAAGTTACATAGAGCCAAGTTGCATAGAGCCAAGTGGCACAGAGCCAAGTGACACAGACCCAGGTGGCAGAGCCAAGGTTAGGTAGAGCTTGCGTAGAGCTTCGGCGTAAGCAGCTATGTAGTTAGTTTAGGTTTCTAAGGCGCCGGGGCGGGAGTTTGATCATCGCTCGGGATTGCGACCCTCTGCGGAGATCCGCGTGGTCGATGTTAAAAAACTGAGGACTTTTTACGATTTCTGCAAGCCGCGCGCGACCCTCTGCGGAGATTCGCGTGGTCGAGGTCAACAAACTGAGGACATCTTACGATTTTTAGCATGCGCGCGCGACCCTCTGCGGAGATTCGCGTGGTCGAGGTTCAAAAACTGAGGACATCTTACGATTTCTGCAGCGCGCGTGCGACCCTCTGCAGAGATTCGCGTGGTCGAGGTTCAAAAACTGAGGACTTTTCACGATTTCTGCAAGCCGCGCGCGACCCTCTGCGGCGTGGTCGAGGTTCAGAAGCTGAGGACTTTTTACGATTTCTGCAATCGCGTGGTCGAGGTTCAAAAACTGAGGACTTTTTACGATTTCTGGAAGCGCTCTCGCTGTGGCGCCGTACGAATTTGTTGCTCGCGAAATGGCCTTTGGAAGTTGTCTCGTGGCTCGCGCGCCTGCTTTCGCAATCCCGCGGTCGCGGGTTCGATTCCCCCCTGGTCCGCGGCAGCTCCGACTTGAAAATCGCAGCTTTTAAGCACAAACGTAGTACGCGGAGCGTGCTCCTGCAGCTCCGGCTGGAAAATCGCAATTTTTAAGTACAGACGTAGTATGCGGAGCGTGCTCGTGCAGCTCCGGTTGGAAAATCTCAACTTTTAAGTACAGACGTAGTACGCGGAGCGTGCTCCCGCAGCTCCGGCTGGAAAATCTCAACTTTTAAGTGCAAAAATAGTACGCGAAGTACATTCCCACAGCTCCGGCAGCACTTGCGCAGAGCAACTTGCGCAGAGTCACTTGCGCAGAGCAACTTGCGCTCTGCGAATTGCACAGAGCAGTTGCGCAAAGCACTTGCGCAGAGCAACTTGCACAGACCAACTTGCACAGAGCACATGCGCAAAGCGCTTGCGCGGAGCAACTGGCGGCACTTGCGCAGAGCAACTTGCTCAGAGCACTTGCGCAGAGCAACCTGCAAAGAGCACATGCGCAAAGCGCTTGCACGGAGCAACTGGCGCAGAGCAACTTGCACAGACCAACTTGCACAGAGCACATGCGCAAAGCGATTGCACGGAGCAACTGGCGCAGAGCACTTGCGCAGAGCAACTTGCTCAGAGCACTTGCGCAGAGCAACTTACTTGCTCTGAGCAACTTGCACAGAGCACTTGCGTGCAGCAGCTTGCAGAGAGCAACTTGCGCGCAGCAGCCTGGAACATTGCAGCTTGCGCAGACCACTTTCGTGAGAAATCGCGCGGCGCAGTTCGAGAGGACACTAGGATGATGAGATGGAGCTCTCATGTGACCACACACATTGAGCATCGCCGCGTGCAGACACGCTCGCCGCAGCGATGTAAAAAGGTGTCTCCGCGGCTGGATGAGCACCTGGGGAAAAATGCTTCGTCCTCTAGTTATTTTTTTCAGCACACCCTGCCTCTGGCCCCCACAGAAGCCTCTTCTGCCCCCGTCACAAAGCCAGGTGCAGAAGCGCCAAGTGCAGCGCGTGGGGCAGGTGGCGAGGGCGGTGGCTGAAGAGCTGCAGCGCCGTGGCTTTTGCGAGGAGAGACCCAGGGGAAACCGGGAAGCCACTCCGTGACTGCTATTGGGTTGGATCTTTAGAATTTAACTTTTTGGGAAATCAAGGGGTTTTCCACTAAACACCCGAAAAGTTAAGCTTTCTGCAGGGGGTCAACAGCAATCAAGATTCAGATTTTGGGTTGGTTTTCTCAGTTTTGGCGCTTCAGCAGCAAAGTGGGCGAAGGGTCGCATGTTTGGGGTTGGTTGTAACATGGTGTCGACGATGGAAGTTTTTTTTGGGCCGAATTCATCTTTTGCTGCGCTTGGATCGCAAGTTTTGGTTTCCGACCCGCTGACTTCCGGAGCGACTCCCAGGTGCCACTCTGCTGCGGGAGAGAAGTGTCAGGCCTTTGGGCCTTTGGGATGGATGGGGAAAGCGTCTCCTTCGGGGGGGGGGTCTCCGTCTTGCTTTTTGTTTTTGAGAGAATTGGAGGGTTGCATATTTAATACTCACACTGCCTAAATGTACCTTCAGGGGACCATGGTTTTGGGGTTGAGTTCTGCATTTTTGATAGTGTGGGTTTGAACAAGGGTTGCTCTAAAAGAAAAGACTACTACAAAAATATAAATAGTGGTTTAAAGTTTGCCATTGTCTACCACCATGATTGTTTAAAGCTTCAGGGGCCAATACAATTTTCCTTGGGCCCCTCTCTTCAGACACACCCTGGGTGCAATGAAGCCAGCTACGTGAAGTATTTGCACAACTTGAAGTTCCTGCTGTCAAGGGCTTTTAGATGCTGGAGGTTGTATACCGCTTATGTGAAGGGTTGTTATACTGCGTTACAAGCACATGGTGGCATATTTGCGGGAACTGGGATTGAAACGACAGTAGGATCTTTAAGAATTGGGGCCTCCCAAATGAGCCAAAGAAATGGGTGCTGCCTTGGTGATTCTTTACATTTTGGGTTCATTTTCATACCGATCGGCTTTGGTGACTCAAATGGGTTTCACCGTTTTGGTACCATGTATCACCATGTATCACATTTCTGGCATCATCTATCCCATCTTAGTTCCCACACATGTTTCGGGTTTTGAAAGCGGCGTAGTTGCAAAGAGGCGGTCTGTTGGGGCCATTTGGGGCCATCCCCACAGCTAAAAGAGGGGCTGTGTCTCAAAGCGGACCGCTTCTGTGGGCTGGTTTTCGGAAACCAAAAAGAAACCACCTGGAGGGAGGTTTCCTTCTTGACGGTTTTCTGGGCGGTTCAGTCAGTGGCGCACTTGGAGTTGCCCTTCCTCATCCATAATTTATTTAACGGGGAAAGTCATTTTGGGGTTACCCTATGATTGACCAACAGCCTCCCATCCATGCCTACTTCGAGTTGGGGCGATTTTTCGACCACGGCGATTTGGGGCCATCCCCACGGCTTGCCCTCGGGCGCCTCCGGCGCCTCCCAGCGCGCGCAGCAGGCGCTTGCCGCGCAGCTGCGGCGCCGCGCGGTGCGGCGGTTGGCCGCGGCCGTGGCGGCCGCCGGGCGGCGCCGGAGATGCGGTCGGCAGATGGCCGGGGCCCTGGAAATGCCGCGGTTTGGCGAGATGTGAGGTCGGGGTGGAAATCAAAAACTAGAAGACATGTGCAGATATACATTGATGAGAAAAAAGTCATATACACACACATGTACATTATATATGTATATATATATACATAAATACATTTAGACATACTTTCTTGGTGGTTACTGGGCTGTAGTTGTTTCGTTGTTTCTTGGCGCTTTGTGAAGCCCCCCCCCCCCCCCGCATAGCGAGCCGGTTACCACGACATGGGCGCCTTCAAGATGGCGTATGCTGTGCTTCTGCCCGTAACCGCGAGCTGCGCGGACTGGGGCGTGTGCTTGGTCAACTGCTCAGGCTTGGAGCTTTGGCCTCGCAAACAGTCGAACGTGCGGTTGCAAGCCACTGCCACACGGAGTTTGGGAAAGGATTCAGAGTTGCTGTGGCCCCAGGCGCCGACATTCGGGGACTCTCCTGGCTACACACTCTTTGCGGCAAGATCCGGGGAGTTTTTCCATGACTATGGTGCGGGAAGAAGGGTGAGCACGCTTACTTCCCGGATACATGTTTTGGGTGCACCAGTTCATGCTGTGACCACATGGCTTTACGTGCCTAGTAGTTTTGTCAGAGGCAACAGACATATGCCATGTCTCATCCCTTACTTGGTGGTTTGGATTGGCGGTTTGGGGAATTGGAACCCCAGGTTCGCAATTGGAGGGAAGCTGAATGTACTCTCCTCAACAGAAGGAGGTTAGAGCCCACGGCTGGCAACAAAATATATGCACCCGCACAGGGAATGCTTAGATAAATCCATAGATACTTCCATAGATACTTCCATAGATACTTCCATGGATACTTCCATGGATACTTCTACAGATTTGTACATAAATGCGTAGTTGTTTCATGACGTTCTGGTCAGCTGCTCTCATGAAAGGAAGTAGTCAGGCTTCATCGCGCGCTGCTTGGTGAAGTCTGAACGCACCATCAATGGGCTTGTGGCTGGCAAGTTCGCGATTCACTGGTCTCATCGCACCTTTCGCAACCGGAGTTTGCATTGAGGCTGGTCGGTTTTATACGTGGCCTTGCAAGAGCTGCATCGGAAACAAGCGATACGGACTGGCACCCAAGCGCCAGGCGCATGTTGGTCAGGACGCCCAGGGACAAATCGGATGTCACGCGCATAGCTCTGCGTGAAGCCGCAGAGCGGGCGGGTTGATTAAACCTCACGTGAGGTTTGCGGCCGGAAATTGGTGAAGCTGTTCCTTTCGCACAAGTACCGCCACCTGCACATGCTGCAAGTGTTTGCAAGCCTGCGCAGGTACTGGCCCTGCAAGCTTGCGCGCGGAGGTACAAGGCGCCTCCGGGAGCACTGGGTTTGTGAGCCCGGTGATCACCGCAGTTAAAGAGATCAGCAGGACGTGGCTGTTGACGCTTTGCTCGAGATACCCTTTAATTGTCTGGCTGTCGATGTTTTGGATTTGAGAGGCAAACAAATTTCCCCCAGGGCTGAAAGGCCACTGCCGAATGCAATTCTCGCTGATCGAATCTTGCCAGGCCGATGCGTTGAGCTGCCTGCGCCGAGCCTGCCATGCAGGTCCGAGCTTTTAGACACGATACTCCCCGCGGGCTTCCCGTGAAAGGATGCTCCTTTGCAAACGAAGTTTTTGTTTGGGTTGCGTGTCAATTTGCAGGAATAGCTGAATGCGTTTTCGTTTACAGGCGAGAGTGAGGTCCTTCAACGCAAATCAGGTAATGTTCACCCCGGATGAATAAACCCCTGGTTGATGAATAGGGGGTGTCCCCTTTTGGGGATTGTTCACTCTTGGAGGGAACACCCCCCTAATGGGACGGGTTTATTAGTACTGGGTCACCTAGCTCCACCGAACTCCACCCCGGATCCGTGGATTCGCTTCGATTTGCGCCAGGCTGGCGCTGCGATCTCTTCGGGCGTGCGCTGAGGGCGCGGCAGATGGAGCAGCGGCTGCGACGGGCGCTGAAAGGCTGGCGCCTGGTGCAGGCGGGGTGTGAGATGTCTGATTTGTCTTTTTTTGTAAATTTACCAAAGCTGGACACCACTAAGTCGGGGGTATTTCGAGAGCTGCCCAACAATTTACTTGACATAGCACCTGGGGATGGAAGATGTTCACTGGACCTTCTGCCACGTGCCTCGCGAGCTCGCCTCGCGAGGCACGGCCGCGGCGCCTGGCCGCGGCCCTGCGGGCGCCCACGGGGCGCTGCGGGAGCTGGGCGCTGCAGCGCCTGGCGCGGCACGGCCTGGAGCTGCGCTGGGAGCAGCGCCTGGGCCGCGCCGTGGCCGCCAAGGCGAGCCTGCGAGCCAGCGAGCGGGCGAGGGCGACCAGGGCGCTTTGGGGCGACAGAAGTCGAGCTTCGTGTGGGGGAGGGGGAGGGGAAGGGAGCTTCCTTTTGGAGAGATGAATGAATGAATGAATGAATGAATGAATGAATGAATGAATGAATGAATGAATGAATGAATGAATGAATGAATGAATGAATGAATGAATGAATGAATGAATGAATGAATGAATGAATGAATGAATGAATGAATGAATGAATGAATGAATGAATGAATGAATGAATGAATGAATGAATGAATGAATGAATGAATGAATGAATGAATGAATGAATGAATGAATGAATGGATTGGATTGGATTGGATTGGATTGGATTGGATTGGATTGGATTGGATTGGATTGGATTGGATTGGATTGGATTGGATTGGATTGGATTGGATTGGATTGGATTGGAATGGAATGGAATGGAAATGGAATGGAATGGAATGGAATGGAATGGAATGGAATGGAATGGAATGAATGGAATGGAATGGAATGGAATGGAATGGAATGGAATGGAATGGAATGGAATGGAATGGAATGGAATGGAATGGAATGGAATGGAATGGAATGGAATGGAATGGAATGGAATGGAATGGAAAGGACGGAAGGAATGGAATGGAATGGAATGGAATGGAATTGAATGGAATGAATGGAATGAATGCAATGAATGGAATGAATGGAATGAATGGAATGAATGGAATGAATGGAATGAATGGAATGGATGGAATGGATGGAATGAATGGAAGGAATGGAAGGAATGGAATGGAATGGAATGCAATGGAATGGAATGGAATGGAATGGATGAAGGACGGAAGGAATGAATGGAATGGAATGGAATGGAATTGAATGGAATGAATGGAATGAATGCAATGAATGGAATGAATGGAATGAATGGAATGAATGGAATGAATGGAATGGAAGTGGAAATGGGATGCAATGGAATGGAATGGAATGGAATGGAATGGAATGGAATGGAATTGGAATGGAATGGAATGGAATGGAATGGAATGGAATGGATGGAATGGAATGTATGGAATGGAATGGAATGGAATGGAATGGAATGGAATGGAATGGAATGGAATGGGAATGGGAATGGAATGGAATGGAATGGAATGGAATGGAATGGAATGGAATGGAATGGAATGGGGGGAAAAGGAATGGAATGTAATGGAATGGATGGAAAAAAAAGGAATGGAACCGAATGGAATGGATTGGAAACGGAATGGAATGGGCACGGGAAGGAATGGAATGGAATGGAATGGAATGGAATGGAATGAATGGAATGGAATGGAATGGAAAGGATGGGAATGGAATGGAATGGAATGGAATGGAAATGGAATGAAAATGGAATGGAATGAAATGAAATGGAATGGAATGAAATGAAATGAAATGGAATGGAATGGAATGGAATGGAAGGGAATGGAAGGGAATGGAGGGAAAGGAAGGAAATGAAGGGAATGAAGGGAATGAAGGGAATGAAGGGAATGAAGGGAATGAAGGGAATGAAGGGAATGAAGGGAATGAAGGGAATGAAGGGAATGAATGAATGGAATGAATGGAATGAGTGGAATGAATGGAATGAATGGAATGAATGGAATGAATGGAATGAATGGAATGAATGAAATGAATGGAATGAATGGAATGAATGGAATGAATGGAATGAAGGGACTGAATGGAATGAAGGGACTGAATGGAATGAATGAATGGAATGAATGAATGGAATGAATGGAATGGAATGAATGAATGAATGAATGAATGAAATGAATGAATGAATGAATGAATGAATGAATGAATGAATGAATGAATGAATGAAATGAAATGAAATGAAATGAAATGAAATGAAATGAAATGAAATGAAATGAAATGAAATGAAATGAAATGAAATGAAATGAAATGAAATGAATGAATGAATGAATGAATGAATGAATGAATGAATGGAATGGAATGGAATGGAATGGAATGGAATGGAATGGAATGGAATGGAATGAATGAATGAATGAATGAATGAATGAATGAATGAATGAATGAATGAATGAATGAATGAATGAATGAATGAATGAATGAATGATTGAATGAATGAATGAATGAATGAATGAATGAATGAATGAATGAATGAATGAATGAATGAATGAATGAATGAATGAATGAATGAATGAATGAATGAATGAATGAATGAATGAATGAATGAATGGAATGAATGAATGAATGAATGAATGAATGAATGAATGAATGAATGAATGAATGAAATGAATGAATGAAACTTTTTGGAGTGAGTGAGTGAGTGGTGAGTGAGTGAGTGAGTGAGTGAGTGGATGGATGGATGGCATGGATGGATGGATGGTGGATGGATGGATGAAATGAATGATGATGAATGAATGGAATGGAATGGAATGGAATGGAATGGAAATGGAATGAAAATGGAATGGAATGAAATGAAATGGAATGGAATGAAATGAAATGAAATGGAATGGAATGGAATGGAATGGAAGGGAATGGAAGGGAATGGAGGGAAAGGAAGGAAATGAAGGGAATGAAGGGAATGAAGGGAATGAAGGGAATGAAGGGAATGAAGGGAATGAAGGGAATGAAGGGAATGAAGGGAATGAAGGGAATGAATGAATGGAATGAATGGAATGAGTGGAATGAATGGAATGAATGGAATGAATGGAATGAATGGAATGAATGGAATGAATGAAATGAATGGAATGAATGGAATGAATGGAATGAATGGAATGAAGGGACTGAATGGAATGAAGGGACTGAATGGAATGAATGAATGGAATGAATGAATGGAATGAATGGAATGGAATGAATGAATGAATGAATGAATGAAATGAATGAATGAATGAATGAATGAATGAATGAATGAATGAATGAATGAATGAAATGAAATGAAATGAAATGAAATGAAATGAAATGAAATGAAATGAAATGAAATGAAATGAAATGAAATGAATGCAATTGATGAATGTATGAAACATAACATGACATGACATGATCATGACATGACTTGACATGAATGACATGACATGACATGAAATGAAATGAAATGAATGAAATGAAATGATATGAATGGATGAATGAATGAAGGAATGATTGAATGATATGAATGAATGAATGAATGAATGAATGAATGAATGAATGAATGAGATGACTGAGTGGTGAGTGAGTGTGTTGAGTGGTGGATGTTGGATGGTGGATGGATGATGGATGGATGAATGAAATGAATGGAATGGAAGGGAAGGATGGGAAGGGAAGGGAAGGGAAGGGAAGGGAAGGGAAGGAATGGATTGCAATGCAATGCAATGCAATGGAATGGAATGGAATGGAATGAATGGCTGAATGAATGAATGAATGAATGAATGAATGAATGAATGAATGAATGAATGAATGAATGACTGAATGACTGAATGAATGAATGAATGAATGAATGAATGAATGAATGAATGAATGGATGGATGGATGGATGGATGGATGGATGGATGAATGAATGAATGAATGAATGAATGAATGAATGAATGAATGAATGAATGATGCTTTGTGGAATGCTTTGAGTTGATCAGTTGGAGTTGCTTGAGGTTCTGTTAACGTTTGAATCAAATCACAAGTTTTGGGCGAGGTTCATGAATTGGAGTTGGAAAGTGGACATGAATGCCCCAATGTCCACCAAGGGGCCCCTAGAAGTCATGGCCGACCCAACCAAAGCCTTAGCTTCTGTCCAAAATCAGGGAAGCTGATGTTTTAAGCCTAGGAACTAGTTCTCACCTTCCTCTCAGCTTCCTCGATTGACCAACTTGGCCAAGTTGGGCAATATGCTAGATACAAGGCAATATGGGTTTTGTCAGACCTTTGACTTCCTCTCACACACCCCCCCCCCCCCCAAACAGGTCTCCTCGACACAGAGACCCACATATGCCAAGTTGGTTCAAATTTGTGACGTGCCAGGCCCAGTCGATCCAACACGAGAGCCAGCAGCGGTTGGAGGCGGTCCGCGGACAAATGGAGGACGCGTTCCTTGGCGACTTCGAGTTGGATCAAGCTGAACGGCTTGCTGATAGCTGTGTATGTTATTTCATCGAAGCAAGTGCTAAGATTGACAAAAGCGGTGATGTTTAGTTTCGAGCTACGGCTACAGAATTCGTCGTACAGTATGGATCACCAGAACCTCGAGCAGGCAGAGTTAAGTTGGATAAGAATATGACAACAATAGTTTATAGTGACTTGACATTACAACAATGTTTGGTTTGATTGCTATCAATGTTATTGTCAATATTGCTGGGTTGATTAATTGATGAGTGAATATATCAATTGCAGCACCTCAACATAGCATGTTGGGTAGTCTATGGTCCATTTGGGATGGATATGGGGGGACTCACCAAAAACAAAAATCCACAAAAGCCAGGGCTTGAGCCCCGAATTCCACTGTGTTTTGCTGGGGAGGCCGAAGAAGAAATGACCATGGCCGACTGACCAGTCGGCAGGAGCGGGTCTACGGGCTCAGCGGGCAGAAGGAGGAGCTGCTGCACCGTCTCGCCACCTCCATGGCGCGAGAGGTGAAGCAGGGCGCCCCAGAGCCAGCTGTTTCCTCTTGGCTTTGTGTTGTTCCAACAAAAGACACACACACACAGACACACAGACACACAAAAAAGACACGCCACAAACACCAAAAAAAACAGCCACAAGAAAAAGGAAGCACAGAGCAGACGGCGTCCCGCGCGAGGCTCATCTCCAGCTTGGCGGACCGCCAGCTGCTGGGCTGCGCCTGGGCGCAGTGGCAGCTGTGGCGGCGCCGGCGGGCGGCCGCGCGGCGCCTGGGCCGCCTGCTGCTTCGGCACCTCCGGAGGAGCGGTTGGCCACACGCCGTCGACCCGTCGACCCAGAACGCTCTGGGTGTTGCGGACGTGTGTTGAGCACCTACCCCAAAATGGTACCATTGGTTTTGACCCACAGCCATATTTTTGGAGAAGCCACAAGGTTGTTGAAAAGATGGTGGCTTTGTCCCATGCTTCTACTGAACGCGAGTCACGATGTCGCTGACGAACGTTTCTTTTGAACCAAAGAGGAAATCGATCTGTAGTCCACGGCCAAACGAGTCGCACACCCAACAGTTGGGTGTTGAGGGGTTTGTGTGTTTGGAATACATTCAGCCCAGGTGGCTTTGGAAAACAGACCGCACATGGGACGATGGGCCAGGAGACACCTTCAAATCTGGCGACGCCAGACGGAGGTGGACGCGCTGTCCTATTTGGAGGCCGAAATAAAGGGAGAAAGAGCAATGTCCCGTGTACAAAAAATCTGGATTTGCTGACCTGGCCGTGGAGGGGCATCGATTGGCCGCCTGGCCAGGTGCAGATCGACTGCTTCGATTCCTTCACCTCCAAGCGCAACGCGCTGTGCTGGCGCGTGCTGAGACGCTGCGGGGGTCTTTGGACCTCCGAGCTGCAGGTGCCCGGGGGCTTCGGGGGCTGGGCATGGAGCGATTTCAGGCTTCAAAGGGGGGATCCCTACCCCCTTCAACTTGTTGATGGGGACTCCAGGCACATGGTGCCTGGGTGTTCGGCCTGGCGCCTTTTTCTGCGCAGAAGCCTGAGCTTGGTGGCCTTGAAGAAGCAAGCGCGTAGGAGATCTTCGTTTATGGTGAGCCATTGCCTTTTTTCTATGGGAAGACTGGAGGAATGAAATCGGGGACCACCCCTCCTCCCTAGCAGGCAGGGGGGATGTGCGGGGCTTGATGGGCTGGCATGCTCCATTCTTCGATTCATCCAAGGGTCGATTTCCCCAAACGCGGTGGACCTTTGCTCCTGAGGGTTTATACCTTGTCAGCTGGAATCCATTCCAAGGAAGCCAACAAAGCAGCACCCGCCCCCCGTGCGGTGCCGTTTTGGGTTTCGAGCAAAACCTGGGACCTGTCAGGACCTGACGCTGGTGGCGGCGCTGGGCGCCTGGCGCCTCGGCGCGGAGGCGGCAGAACGGCGCCGCCAGCGCCGGGCCTTGGCCTGCCACAGGCTCCAAGCCGCAGGCGCGGTTTGAGCGGTTTGAGCTCGCGCGGGTTGGCGGGCGGTTGGGCGGGCGGAACGCATTTTGGAGATGTTCGGAGGGAAAAGAAGTGGGGTAAACCTCACAGAAGAAGCACCTCAAGAGGGATATGCTCATATGTTTGCACTTTTTGGTGTTTTTTTTTCAATATCACCTTGTTGGCCCATGAAAGGTGAGTGTCCCTTGTTGGGGGCAATGTTATAAGGGGAAATATAGGGAGCCCTGAACCTTGGTCAACCAAAAGGAACACCTCATTTTGCACCTCTTCCCTGGTCAGAACCATCAGCTTGTCGGATGATGTTTGTCTTGGTGCGAGAGATGCAGGGAATGACACACGGAATGCCTCGGAGGAAAACCAGTCCTTAGGGTTCTTCCCTACTGGGCACCCCAACTGGCTTCCCTGTAACTTGCTGGTCAGTCCAGAACGACCGTTCCGGGTGTTGGGAATGGATTCCTTGACAGGAAACGATGCTCATTTTTCTCTGTCCCTTCCATTTCGGTTTCAGTTTCAAGCCGTTGGTTTCCAAATCTGTGATGCAACTGCCAAATGCCCAAGATCTGAAGAGTCGGGTTGTCCGTTTCATCTGAACAGTGACTCAAAGCACAGATCTTTCCGCACCGAGCTCCTGCGTAGCGTCAGGCCTCCAGCTGCTGCGAAGGAGGATGTGGGCTCCCTGGCTGTCTTGGCAGCAGGCGGGTCTTGGTTGGCAGAGCCCTCGTATCCGATTCGGGTGGGACGTTGCCAGCATTTTGAACCTATTGCAAGGAAGACACCCACAGCTGATGGCTGTGTCTTCTTTGAGGGGACCCCCCAAAATGGTGGGTTCTCCCTTTGGTTTTCCCTTTGCTTTTCCCTTTGCTGTTCCCTTTGCTTTTCCCTTTGGTGTTTCCTTGACCACCAAAGAAAAGGGGGGAGGGCACCTCCAAAACAAATAAATAAAACAAACACAAAAAAGCAAACGACCCCCCAACAAGACACCACTTTTGGTTTTTGTAGCTCCAAAAAGACCAAATGACCCCCTTCCCATGTGGCCATGCGCCAGGCGGAGGTCAGGTCGCTGAGCACGGTGATGCGCCAGGTGGAGGAGGCACATGCGCGTGAGGCCGGGGGTTCATCCCCAAGGGTGCGGGGTGTGTGTTTTTTCTTTTTCTCCTGTTTCTCTTTCTTTTCATTCCCCAACAGCTGAAAGCTTTGGGGTCTCAGCCCAGATAGGCTCCGGGGTGGTTCGGGGCGACCGTGAGCTAAGGTTCCACCAGGGTTCCACCAGGGTTCCACCAGCCCGTCGTGCTCCGGACGCCAATTTCTTCAAGGGCTGCGGGGTGGTTTCAGGGTTCCGTTCCACAAGGCTCCACAATGTTCCACCAAGGGTTCCAGAAATGTTCTGCGGTTCCGTGGTTTGCCCTGGAGGGAAGCAGTGTGTCGTGCGCCCGTCGTCTGAACAGCCATCGGATCAAGATCGCTTTGCTCATGGGCGGAACACTAAGCAAAGCCGAAGTCCATGGTTTCTAGCACACTTTCACTGTCTTGTGACTTGCTCACTTGCTCAGGCAAATGCTGGCTTTGTGGCAAATCAGATCACGTCGCTGCGGGACTCACGGTGCAGCAGAGTAAATGCTTGGCCTTGCTGCTTGGTGGGCTTTGGGCTCCAAGAATTCCACAAGGCTGCGAGGGCTATGAGGTAAGGTTCCAAAAGCGTTCCACAAGGATTGCACCAGGTTCTGGCAGCCCTGAGGAAAGGTTCCAACAAAGTTTCACGCTGAGCTCCACGAAAGTGCGAGGTTCACCGGGCCTAGGTCGGGGCCCGATTGCACTGTCGGGGCCCGATTGCACCGTTTGGGCCCGATCGGCCCGGATTGCGCCATCGCGCCCCGATCGGGGCCCGACTCAGTCGGGCATCGCCTAGTTTTGCTATAGATACAGTTGCAATCCGCATGCTAGGGAACACCGGCGTCACGGGACGATCGGCCCCGATCGCACCGTCTGCTGTTGGGGATATTGCCCGAGCTTATCATTTTTTCTTGTTTTTTTTTGGGGGGGGGGGGCGCGTGTTTTTCTTCGTCTTTTTCCCCCTTGTGTTTCTTTCTTTTTTCTCCATTTTTTTCTTCTCTTTTCTTTTTCCGGCCACAAAAGAAAGACGCCTTGCTTGGGCTACAAAAATATCACAAGGGAAGCCAAAAGAAAGCCAGCTACCTGGGGTCCCCAATTCTGAGAAATGCCCAAAGGTGTCCTTTTTGGGCTGTGTTGGCAAAAAGTGGATGGCCCTGGTTACCCGGTGCTTGCGGATTCTAGCAGGGCCACTTGTTTTCCCAAAGAAAAATAGCTATGCTCACCTTCCCGTAGAAGACCCGTGTGCGAGTCTTTCAGGAAGTGGAGCAGCTCAAGGAGGAGCTGGACAAAACGCGGCGCCAGGCAGCGTCTCAGCATGATACCCTGGCCGCAGAGTTCTCCCAGCTGCGGAGTGGGCAGCTGGCGCTGGAGCAGTCCAGCGACCTGGCGAGCCAAGCGGTTTGCTTCGGATGCCACAAGAAGCGAGAGATTCCATGGGGGGGGTCTGGAATCGGAGCCCCCAAACAGGCAGTCTTCCAGGTTTCCCTTTAAAACCCAGCCAATGTGTACCCTTGAAAAAGACACACACACATGTTTGCACGAAATGGGCTCGGGCTTCTTGTTTCGCGTTCCTGTTTTCCAAAAAGGGCACCCCGAATTCCCACTATGATGTCATACCCGAAAAACAAGCGCAGGTACCAGAACAATGCCAAAGCTGCCAGCTTCACTCGAGGCGCTTGGCTCGAGCCACTCGCGCCGCTCGGCTCGGATCGCGATCCGAGGCCGCGTGGCGGCGGCCGCGTGGCTGCGCCGGGGCTGGGCCTCGCTGGCGCGGCAGCTGCGCGGGGCCGCGCTGCGGGCGATGCTGCGGCCCCTGGCCGCGGTGCGCGCCTGGCAGCTGCGCAGCGAGGTGCGGGAGGGGGGGGTTCCTGGGGGTGGGGGCTGCTGCGGGGTGGTTGGGGGGGGGGGGAAGCTGTGGAGGTGGGAGGTCACTGGTGGGTGGGGTAAGCAAAAGGAAGAGAAGAATGCCATGGGAGCAGAAGACTTTGAGAAGCCCGAATTGAATCCATCCCATGGGCTTAGCATAGGCTACAGGAGTTTTTTTTTTTGTGAACTGGACAATTTGAAATCAGTTCCGTGGGTTTGGGTTGCGAGCTTGAGAGGCTCGACAAGAAACATGCAGGCGCTGTGTAGCTCCTGGCGCTTCCTGTGCTCTGCCCTGCTGAGAGCGCAGCCCTGGCACTTCAGAAGCAGTCGTGGCCTGAGCCGCCGGATCTGCCGAATGGGGATCTGTGGGTAAAACGAGCTCACTTCGGTCTGTGTGTGTGTGTGTGTGTGTGTGTGATACAAAGAGCTCACGCCATGAGCTGTATACTTTACTTCTCACTTTGGGGTCTTAAAGAACCCAAACCAAGTCACTCGTTGTGGGGGCTCCAGAACTCGACTCGCGCACTGGCTTCCCACTTCGCACACGCCCGAGCGATGCGTTTCTCGAGGCATCGCCCTGCAAGCAGCCGAGAAGATGCGGCTGCGGGCGCTCCAGGTGGAGCAAGCCGAGATCGAGCGTGCGCTCCTGAGATGGCCCATGTTTGGCTTCAGGTAAATACTCCAAGAGGAAACTCAGCCAGGTATCACATCCTTAATAATAGATCTATTGCCAAGAGCACAGACCGAGGAGCCAAAGAAGTGAGCAGATCTGCGGCGATGGACGGTTTGATGAAGTCCTTGGTGTCCTCCCTGCACCGCGCGTTGCGTGACCGGCTCCTTTGCTGGCAGCGCGCCTGTCTGTGGGGCGGCCGGCTCGGTGGCCCAGACCTGTGAAGCTCGACGGATGCTTACATCAAAATGGTCCGTGGGCGTTTCTCAAGACTGGGGAATCCTCCAGGTGGCTTATCTTTTTTGATTCGAACCCCACCCCAAAAAGGGGACGCACCTAAAGCCAACCAGGTCTTTTGCCCACACCCAAGATTCGCATGGGATTGACTCCAACGTTGATGCAGCGGCACTCCACGGGACCTGGCGGTCCTTGTCGCAACCAGGTCTTTGTTGATGTCCAAGCGCCGATTCCATAAGAAGAAAAGAGGTCCTTTGGGTTGGACCACGAGTTTTCGGTTTCCACAGATTCCACATGTGCCATGGTCAACAGACCCCCTTTACTCAGGGGTAACAGGGATGGTCATCCACCTGGCAATAAGGATCCTTAATATTCATTCAAATGATTAGGGAACCCACTGACCGTAGGCCAATAATGCCTCTTTTTTGGCAACCCTGGCCATGCAAAAGAACCATGACCACAGGGAGCTCTTTAGGGAACCATAGGCTCAACCAAAGATCTTCTTATTCCTCGAGACAATCGAGCCATCGCGTCTGGGACTCAGGCAGGCCGCCGAGGGCCGGGGCTGTGCGCTCGCAGAGCGACTGGGATGCACTGGAGACTCATCCGAAGTCGAAACCCGATTCCTGGTGCTACTTTTGTTACACAAACTTGTTGAAGTCGCTGCCGTGGGGATTCCAATTTGGGAAAGTCGTGGCCGCTTGCGTTACCGTTTGTGGTTTGGAATTGAGTATTTTCAATGGCGTCGAAATTGGGTGCGGAGTAGTTTCGCGTGGGTGTTGTGGGCCGTTGGGATTTGCGTTTCGTGGCCATGGGCCGTTGGGATTTGCACGCGTTCTTTGGCTTGTCGCGCACCCTTGTTACCTTTGTTGCCTTTGCCCCCTGCGCCTGCTGCTGCTGCTTCTGCTGCCGGGTGTCTCATCCGGCACACTTGTATGAACAACTTGTGGTCTATGGTCGGTAAGGCCAGAAAGCATCACTGCGACCTTTTTTTTTTGAGGCCAGGAAACATCAAGGTGTACAAACCAAAGCCAATGAGTTTCGACTTTCCGCATGCGGCTTCATACGCGAGCTGGAGGAAGGGACCTGGCTGCCTCTTGCTGCACTTTTCTTCGCCCAGGCTTTGCGTCAAGTGGACCGCGGCGAGGCAGCTCAAGAAGTGCCTCGGGGCCTGGCACGCTGGGGCCCCAGAGGGTTGCGGTCGTGCTTCTCAAATGGCTGCGGCTGTCAAAAATGGGGTAACCCCAAAATAAATTGCCCTCCTGGTCAAATTAGGCGGATGCCTAGATAGCCAAGTTGCAATCTTATGTCAGTCACTGGTCTTTGGGGTTGTAGATGGGGGAAAAAGGCTAAAATCGCACCTGGGGATGGGGTTAGGGGGTTGAGCCCGAGCCCGCGCCGATCTCCGTCCCGATGCGAGTTTTGAGGGCCGGGCCACTGGGCCGCGGCGCCTCGCGGCTGCTCTGGCCGTGCCCATGTCGCAAGGCTCGATGGGGAGTCGGGGGGGTTGGGTCAGAGAAAAACACGTACAGAGACCGGGCCCTGCTAGGTGCCAACTTTTAAACCGTTTCTTCTTCGGGGGGAGTTCGTCTACTAAAGTAGAGAGAAACAAGGTACTGTTCTAACCTCTCTACTGCCGGACCTAGGAGAGAAACACTTGTCCAGGTACGTATCCATGTGTTGATTAGGAGGTCCTTTACATGGGATGACCATGAGGGAAACCACCAAAAAAGATGACCTTTTGCTCCAAAATGGAGCAAGTTATTCATGGTCATTTTGGAAACAGGAATGTTGAAAAACCCCCATATGTGAACCCCTGCTAAGATGAGCGTGGCTCCGGAGCCTTTGGACGAGTCAAGTGCAAGTGGCTAAAGTCAAGATGTCACGACTGTCATTGGCAAGGCTTGGCCATTTCGTCGAAGCTGATCCTTGTTCCAATCCTTTTGTTTGTTCCCAAGGCCAGTTGCTGGACTCTTCTAAATGAAACCAAAGGCCGAGAGGGGAGTGATCAGATGCAGTTCTTCGGGTCGCGTCTTCCAGGCCTCTCCTGGGCATTCAGGAAGCTGCAATGCGTCGCCGTGCGGAAACGGCAGGCGCCGACTTCAAGAGTTGCGATGCTTTAGGCCGAGGGATCTCCTAGGATTGCAGGGGGATTGCAGAGGAATGGCCCCGGTTTTTTCTTGGGATACCTTATCATATTGTCCCGCAAATGGGTGTGGGTCAAAACTAGGGCCTAACTAGGGTAACTTCAAAATGGCTTGCCCTGGCAACTTGAAACAAAGACGAGCACCGGTCACCTGCCGGCACCCTCATGAACTTTAAGGTGGACATAGATCCCCGCCTAAATGATGTTCACCAGTTAAACTTCATCCGACACAAGGCGGCTCTTCGCAGCGCGTGTTGGGGAGCCGCGGCGCGGCGCCAGCGCCGGGGGCCGTGAAAACGCCAAGAGGCATTTTGGGTGCAGAGAATGGGGGGAACCCGAAAGATGATCATTCTTCGGGTCGGTTTTTGCCTGTTTCTTTTGGTTTCCTCCAATTAGAGGGGATTAGAACAAGACGCACCCAGTCCGTTCCATTCATGCCCAAAACGTTCGCCCCGAGGCTTGCGCCGGCTGGTGGACTTCTTCCGCGCCTGGCGCGGGGATGCGCTGGGCGCGCGCCTGCGGCAGCGCCGCACGCGGCACTTGGAGTGCCGCAAGCGGCTGCGGCGCCTGGGATCGACGGGGTGTGGATCGATGGCCCGGGAAGCAACGCGTCGGTTTCTTCTTTGTTTGAGGCGCGGTGAATTTTGGGTTTTTGCGGGTTGGTTAAAAGGGGAGGAAACCCGAAGTGCAGTTTTTAGTTTGATACATGCCCATATTTGGGAGGATTCCAACACCTAGGTTTTGGGCGAGTTGGGTGTTTCTCTGGGTCTTTCCTTGGATGTGTCTCCTTTTTTTAGGGCTTTTCCATGCCAAGTGTTTTTCCCGGAGTTACTTCTGGGTGGTCATCAAGACAATCTCCATGGTTCTGCTTTTTGGGGCTGGAGCTGTCTGTTCCCTACCTTGGATTTTGTTTGGGTTGGGACTTCGGATCTTCATGGGGTTTCTAAGACACCTCGAATCTGGGTGATCTTTGGGGGTGCTGCCCAGAGCTGAGCATGCGTCGTGCTGGGCGGGTGACTCACTCGAGCGGCAAGGCTTTGTCGCTCAGCGTTCCGGTCCTGGATCGAGCGCTGGCCTCAGCTTTCTTTTTTTTTGGGCCCTCTCTGGCGCAGACCCTCCTTTCTTTGTGTGTGTGTGTGTGTGTGATTTTGCGGCATGACTGGTTCAAGGGTATGGGAGTGTTTGTTTTTTGAGGGGTCTCCTTTTTGGTTTTCAAGGGAGCCCCCAAGGGAAAACCGCCAGGTATGAACTATTTAAGAAAATATACCCCAATACTTTTCGGAACTCTATGCGCCGTCCCTTCCGACAAAGCTTTGGAAGGCTGGGTGCCTATTTTCGAAAGCTTCATCGGATGATGGCGCTGCCGGGCGCCCAAGATGGCTTTGAGCATCAAGAACAGGAGCATTTTTCCGGTGGGTTCGGGACATGTTGTCACTAAGTGAGCAAATTTGAAGTAGCTTGGCAGGGAACGCAGGAGAGAGTGTGAGATTTGGGACCTTGGAATCTTCTCAGGCTTCGGGCACTGTTTTCCTCCTTTCAATTTCAGCTTCTTTCAGGCAGCTTTCGAGAAATAAAGGACATACATTCGTTTTTCAACAATTCGCCCCTTGAAAACGAACAAGGGAAACAGACAGCCTTTCCTGAAACATGCTCGCCTGTACAAAGGGAACTCGCAGCTTTCAAAGCCAAAGTCAGCCAAAGTCAGCCAAACTTGCGAGTTCCTTTGGCTCTCCAAGAAAACGTAGAGGAAAACAAGGCTTGTTTTAGTTCTCTTTGTCTATCCAAGCTCTTGCTTAGCCTTTTCCTCCAGACTCAGGATCCCCGATTCGGGCTCAGCTTTGGAGGATTTTCTTCTAAAACAAGCGGGCGTGCCTTTCTTCAACTGGGTTCCCTTCTTGGGTTGAGCTTCTTAGCGGGAAAGAAACCAACAACCGAAAACCATTTTGGGGGGTAGCCCCACAAAAAGCACAGACCGGCACCCCTCCAGGTGGCTGTTCCGGACGCTCCCCAAGGGACGGACGGCCGTGTCGGCCGCAGGCTGCGGCGCAGCTGGCGCTTCGGGGGCCTGGTGCGGTGGCGGCTCCAGGACGCCCGGCGCAGCGCCAAGACCGGCGCGGAGCAGCGCGGGCACGAGGAGAAGCCGGAGCCGACGTCGCTTCTGCTTTTTTTTGGTGGGACTTCGGATTTCCCCGATTTTTCCGGTCAAAGGAACAAACAGGGAAATGTGGAGCCTAGGGTTTTTTGTGGAACAAATCATGGGATTGGAGGCTGAGGCTGGATTCTTCTCTCCTTTTTCTTCGGTGAGGTGGTGGTCAACTTGGCCATCTAACAAAAAGGGGTGTTGGCGGGTAGGGGACATGTGGTCAGCAGCCGATACATTCCGCAGCGATTTCGAACTTCCGCTAAAGGATATCAAAGGGGGATGGCCATTTTGTTTTCTTCCCAGACTCCTGATTTAGCACCCAGCATAAGCCACCCAAGAGAAGCCAACCTTGTTGTAAGTGGGTTATGACCCTGTTGTCAAGACAAACCACAAGGACACCAAGTATTTCGAAGTGTACCCTATCTTGAGAAGCACCCATATGCTGGCAGTATCCTTGGCTTCAGGAGCTCCGGCGCGCGTTGGCCCAACAGAAGGCCGGGGTGTCGGAGTGCGCACTTGTCGAATTTGAGATGGCTGTGGGCAACCAATGGTACCATTTTGGGGTAGGTGCACCACCCATTTTAGTCTATTTTAGTCGGGATTGGGATGTTCACTGGGGGTACGGGATTTTGACCCATGGCCAGATCCCATCGCGAGCCGCAGGTGAGCTGCGAGTACTTTGTCGAGGCCCAAAGCCGGGAGTGCGCCGCGCGCACTGCCAAGGCGCGTGGTTGAGCAGCAGACTCAGTTCCTGCCATGGGTGCGGAGGCCGAGATGCAGCGGGAGCGCGCCTACCATGAGCAGGCATGGGCTTGCCCGGAGCATGCGGTGGGCATCCGGTCATTTGGGCGTAGAACGCCAGGTTCAGGCTTTGCAGCAACGCGCCGGGAGCTGAGTTACGACGCAAGCCCCTTGCAAGCACATGTTCGCTGCTGCCACAGCCGCGTCCCAGGCGTTAGCTGCCAACCACGAGGCGCAGGAAGAGGAGCACCGGCTGCAGCTGCGTGTGGCTGGAGCCTCAACAACTGAGTGGGTTGGGTCCGTTGGCGGCAGGTTCCGAGATTGATAAGTTGATATGCGTCTTGGCCGAAGGCCAAGATGGAGGAGGAGATGCAGGAGGCGAACCAGAAATCTGAGAAAGCGATGGAGCAGATGCCGGCACCTGAGCTCGCAGGTGCAACCGATGCAGCGGGAATTGAAGGCGCCTCTTGACCCAGGCTGCAGGAGAAGCAGCGTGCCGTTGAGCTGCAGACCTGCATTGCTCTGTCCCCAGGGCAGTTGCCATTGCGGCCGGGGCTAGCTGACATTGCGGCTCGAGGCCGAAGATCAAGAGAAGAACATCCGCAACCTGGAGGATCTCCTCAAGGCGGACCACACCATTTCGAGACGTGATCAGGGGATCCCTTCATTCAAGTTCCGATCGCAGGTTGGGGTATGACATGGAAATCACCAGTCAGTTGGATCCCATTCGACGGGTCGAAGGATGTGCTTGCCAGGAGCAGGGTGAGCTCCTGGCCCATGAGAGGAAGGATCACGAGCGCCTGCAACTGCGGTTCACAGAGGCCGAGGCGACGGGGGGCAAAGCGCCGAGGGGGCAACACAAACTGGAGGAAGGGGGCCGCTTCCCCCCATTTCAGGTTGCTCTTAACACCGGTAACGTGTCGAAACAGCGGGACCCGTCAACCCCCGCAAACTGAGGAAAGGACGCTTCCCCCCTTTTCAGGTCTTATCAGGTATGTGTCGAAACAGCGGGAAAGGCCCACCCCGCAAAGGGTACCAGAGCCTCGAAACAAAAACGGGGCGCTTTCTGGGATTCTTCGCGGCCTCAAGTTTCAGCCTGGAGGACCAAGAGAAGGTCATCCGCAGCCTGGAAGAGCGCCTCAAGGCGCCGTGGCTCGAGTTGCGCGAAATCTCGGATTCAAAGACCGGGACGTAAAGCCCACGTTTTTGTGGAGGAGCCGTGGTTTGTTTTCTTTTTCGAAGGGGAAGCGTTGTTTCAGCTTCCCTCTAATTGGTGGTTTGGATTGGTGGTTTGGTGGTTTTTCGGAGGGGTTTCCATGTACTTTGTTCAAGAAACGCTTCAAATTCCAAACCAATCCAAACCACCAAGCCAAGAGCGTCGCAAACGCCTCCGCTTTCAGCCGAAGCGCGTGCCACTTCTTTTCCGCCAGGAGCAGGGCGAGCAGCTGGCGCGGGAGCGGAAGGATCACCTGCGGAGCCTCGATGCGTCATGAGCTCGGGTGTGGCTGTTGTGGAAAATCGGATCCCCAAAGTGGACTCCTGGTACTGCTAACCCTGGATGAATAAAGTCCTGGTTGATGAATAGGGGGTGTCCCCTTTTAGGGATGCATCACTTTTGGAGGGAACACCGACCTAATAATGGGACGGGTTTACTAATCCTGGGTCAACATTAGAGGGAAGGACTAAACCCTGGGGTCCGTATCCTGGTGGTTCAACTTCGAGGTTCGATAGTTGCCGGTCCATGGTCCATCGAGAGACGGAGGAAAACCAGCAAACTTGCCGATTGTTTCTTGGGGAAACAATGGAATTTTGAATACAGCAAATTTGTGCTTTAGGCTGTGCAACACAACCCTAAGAAGGTGCCGGGCCTCCAAAAAGACACCTGAAGGGGTATAAGCATTCCGACAATGGATGGGTGGACACAATTCCCCAATTGATGTGCACCAAAGGATATGTTGATACCAAATTGGCTATGTGCCGGATCTCTTGCCCTGATGGCTAAGTGTTTGAGGCTGCGCGCCTCGTCTGCCATGTCAGAGAGCAAGTACTGCTTGCTGCAGGAGCAGGCGTTGCCTTGGGTGAATTTGGATGTCAAGCGAGTGTGTTGTCGTTTGCCAGCCAAGTCTTTGCTGCTTGCTTTATTCTCGGTGGAGTGGAGCTGGCGAAACTTGGTGGAGCAGTGCTTGCCATGGGAGGCCGAGATGCAGCGGGAGCGCGCCTACCATGAGCAGGCATGGGCTTGCCCGGAGCATGCGGTGGGCATGCGGTCATTTGGGCGTAGAACGCCAGGTTCAGGCTTTGCAGCAACGCGCCGGGAGCTGAGTTACGACGCACGCCCCTTGCAAGCACATGTTCGCTGCTGCCACAGCCGCGTCCCAGCCAGGCGTCAGCTGCCAACCACGAGGCGCAGGAAGAGGAGCACCGGCTGCAGCTGCGTGTGGCTGGAGCCTCAACAACTGAGTGGGTTGGCAGGTTCCGAGGTTGATAAGTTGATATGCGTCTTGGCCGGAGGCCAAGATGGAGGAGGAGATGCAGGAGACGCACCAGAAATCTGAGAAAGCGATGGAGCAGATGCCAGCGCCTGAGATCGCAGGTGCAACCCGATGCAGCGGGAATTGAAGGCGCCTCTTGACCCAGGCTGCAGGAGAAGCAGCGTGCCGTTGAGCTGCAGACCTCCATTGCTCTGTCCCCAGGGCAGTTGCCATTGCGGCCGGGGCTAGCTGCCATTGCGGCTCGAGGCCGAAGATCAAGAGAAGAACATCCGCAACCTGGAGGATCTCCTCAAGGCACTGCGGAGCTGAGTGTCCCCTTTCCCGAAGAATGAATCAGTCACGGCGCACCTCGAGCTGTTGCGACGCTCGAAGGTCGGTGTTTGCAGTTGCTCAAGCCAGGAGCAAGAGCAGCAGCTGACGCGGGAGCGGAAGGAGCATTTACGGGGCGTGGATTCGCCGGGGCCCATTTTTCGGGCCTCCGCGATGGATTTGGCGCTGAACTTTGATTGAAGCCGAGGCTGCGGGCGTCTGCTGCCATGTCCGAGAGCAAGTCCTGCCTGCTGCAGGAACAGGCGCGGGTTAACACAAATCAGAATCCGGTCTCTTCTGGTCGGGTGTGCAAACTTAGGCGAGGGTACTCATGGCCGAACCTTATACACCAGGATTCGTTTTTTTGCCGAAAGCTTAAAGCCTTTTGACCGACTCAGGTCAGATGGGTTTTGGGCACGGGGCTCCTTTGGTTGACTTTTTGGAAAGAGCGTCGCCCGCAAACATTGGAATTGAGGTCTGTCGTTTTTTTTGAGAGAGACCCTTTTGGCATGTTTTTCACTTGAGGGAACCCCTCGTAAGCCTGTTTTGCCAGGAAGCCAATAAGACCACCACCATTCCTGGCTGGGGTCTGAAAAAGACCCAGCCACTTGGTCGATGCTTCACCTCAAGGTGGTGGCTCTGCGGCAGCAACTGCAGCGGGAGCAGCAGGAGCTCATGGCAAGCGAGCGCGCCTGGTCCAGCCGGATGCCTAGAGGTCCGGCAGGTCAGGTCAGGGCTCCCGAAGAGTTTTATTTGGCTGTGGTTGTGTAGGTTGCCCTGGTAAATGGACACATGGACTAAAACCTGCGGTAAGGTTTAGGCTAGCGCCTGCATGGGTCCTCCGGGCACATGCATGGGTCCTTGCGGAGGAAACAACTTGACTTGCAGAGTCTCTTTTCTATCCAAGAAATAGGATCCCGGCTCAGCACAAGTTCTGTTTATGAGAGTAAGTGGTAACTTGCCTTCGGGTTCTAACCTTCTGAAAGGGACTTCCAACCTACGTACTCATGGTTGTTGAAAGTTTCCCTTTCCGTTACACCAAAGCCGATCATCCAGATGGCAACAGAGGTTGGTGCCAAATCCCAAATAACATGGGTATGGGTCAAAATTAGACCACCAGGATATGGACCGCAGGTGTTAGTACTTTCCACTTACTGGCAGTTTACTGGGGTTTCATTTCGGGTACCCATTTTGACCCACACTCAAATCAAGCAAGAAATGCCGATGCCATCTGACCCGAGAGCCTCAGAGCTGTTGTCCCAGGTGACCGGGCGGCCCTTCTCTGTGCAGTGACCAACTCCTCTCTGCCCGGCGCCCGGTCTGCGTTTTCCGAGTCTGAGACCAAGGCTGCCATTCAAAGCTCACGGGATATGAGCAACGGACAATGTTGCTGGTAGTTTGTTCATTTGATGGGGGGCCCACCCAATATCCCCTGTTTCTCACAACAGTCCCAAGAAGCCGACCCAATGCAAGCAAGATTGTCCCACCAAGCTTTGGCTCCCAGCTCGCGGAAGTCCCCGCGTTGTCCGGTTCAGTTCGCGGCCAGGTGGAAACATCCCGGTCCAAACGGAAGAACACAGGGGTAGATCTCCAGGTGCCAAAAAGTGAAGCCGCTTTCAGATGCAGCTCTGCAGGAGAGGAAAAACGGAAGCTGGTTGCCATTCGGTGCCTGATGGAGAGTTCGGACCAGCCGCTGAAGCGCGGCCGACATGAGCCGGCCAGGGTCCCAGGCGGTTTATTGGGAAGGCGGTTTTGAATGGATCTCAAAAGGCGGGAAATGAGGCAAGTTTACTTGGTGGCTCCCAGCCATGCCCTTAGCTTTTTAGCCTTTTATTGTTTAGTGGTAGTTTCCATTTAACCCACTAAAAGTTAAACTTTTCGCGGGGGATCTGAGGGCAGCCCAGTTTACAGTGCGCCAAAGTCACGCTTTTGATTTGAGGTGCTGGCCATTCCGACGCCACAGCGGCTGTCTCCTGAAGGTTTTGCCGAGCACGTGCGCGCCTGCCAACTCCGAGATTTTAGCCACTTGAGCCAACACCCAGGTAATTGGAGGGTGGGTAGGGGACAACCCCTTGCCATCATATGCGGATTTCTGCGAGGATTCTTTGTTAATGTTGAAACGCATGTGGAAACATGAACTGTGTTGGCAATGCTTGACCATAATGGCGCATGCCATTTTGGCTCAAGCTTTGCCCTTGGGTTCTTTGAACCCAACTTGTGTGAACAATTTGTGTTTGAACTCTTCCGAACTACTTCCTTCGAGCTGATTGAGGACCAGACGCTCACCGCGGAGGAGGTGGAAATGGCCAGCCAGGAGGCCCAGGAAATCCGCACACGCGAGGCGGCAGTGGCGGCCGGCTTGGTGTTGGACGAGCCCGAGGCCCCCCCGTCGGCTTCGGCTACCGACGTGATGAACGACCTCTCCAGTGCACTGGAGCGTCTCCGCGTGGCTTTCTCCACACCGACTTCCGGCTTGGGTGCCCCTGGCCCCGCCGAGGAGGAGGACAAGGACATGGAAGATGCGGACGCCGCGGAGCGGGCCACTCCACCAACGAAGAGGCTGAAGGGTTTCGTGGCGGCTTCCCAGAAGACCACGGCTCAGGCGAACAAACCGGTCTCCCTTGTGCCGGTGGAGGGCCGTCCCGGCTACTTCAAGTTAGTGGACCTCCCAGACCTCTTCTCGGTCCTTCCGGCATCGGCGGCCACGTTGCTGAGGGACGTCACGGTGGAGGAGGCGGTCTCCCTGTTCCACAAGTTTGTCGGGAAGAATCTCACGGAGGACTTGGTGATTCGCATCCTGGAGGCCTGTGTTCCGATGAAGATCCAGATCCGGCAGGAGGAGGTCTGGGCCTCACAGTTCCAGAGGAACAAGGCGTGCATTGGCACCCAGCGGATGCACAGACTCGATGCCGCCACTCAGACTACAAATTCATGTGCAAGGCATGCGGCACGGGGTGGCCGGAGGCAGCCAAGCAATGCTGGGTCTGCCCGGGCAAGGAGTTTGTCCCCTTTCAGGCACCCTCGGCTACCTACGAGGCGGACGGCGTCACTTACAACCTGCTCATCGTGGAGGGCAAGCCGACCTGGATCCAGCAGCGGGAAGGGGGAAGCCTGGGTGCCGCTGGCCCCGGTGGTACCCGGGCACAGGCAGACCGCAACCTGGTCCGGGAGCGCGAGGAGGTCAAGGTCAAAGTGCAGCGGTCCCTGAAGGATGCGGAGGCTCAGAGCTTCCAGCTCTACCACCCCCAGGTGGACCAGGCGATCCGGAAGAAGGAGGAGCTGCATAAGGCCTTGAGGGAGCACCGGGAGCCGAATCCGGAGGAGTCCTCGGCCAAGCGGCGGCACAAGGAGTTGGTCACGGATGAGATGCTGGACAATGAGATGGCTATCCTGGCGCCTCTCCAGGAGGGCATGCAGGCCCTGCCGTCAGAGGAGGTGGCCAATGAGGGAGCCCGGGCCCTCAGGAAGGTCAACCTGGAGCGATTCAAGGCCAAGCTGCGAGACCAGTACGTGGAGGGGAAGGGCGTCGACGCCAGCCAGGCACTGGCTGAGGCGATGGGCTCCATCCAGGAGGCTCAGGAGGCGAACAAGCGCACCCAATACACCAACCAGAGTGTTGGTACACCAACCAGGCATGGATGCTTAACCACACCCTCAAACCCTTGGAAGTGTCGGCGTGGCCAGATGAAAGGGGAGGAGCCGGACCTCACCCAACAGACAGGGGTAACTACCCCTCGCACTTCAGCGAGCTCATCCGGGGCACATTTCTGGAGGAGGTCCCCATGGGCATGGTAGAGGGCCCCTTCAGTAAGGTGGAGGCAGCATCGCGCTGTGGCTGCGAAATCGAGGACCTTTGTCCCGGCCCCCTAGCGGGCATCGACGAGGGGGACAAGATCCGCACGATCTACGATGGCTCGGTGGGAGGGGCCAATGACACCATCAGGAACCAGACGGTGGAAAGGACGACGGCTCCGACGGTGCTGGATGGGGTCCAAGCTCTTCATTGGCTACATGCGGCAGCTGCGGAGGGACCCCCCTCTCAGGGTGCCCCTGGCCCCGAGAGGGGGGTCGTCAAACCTCCACCTGGGGGCTGGCTATGGCCGGAGCCGGGCACCAGGTGGGTGCTGCTCAAGGCGGACGTCACCAAGGCCCACCGGAGAGTGAAGGTCCTCAGGAAGGACTGGCGGTTCCAGGTGGCCTCACTGGGGGAAGAATGGTGGGTGAACAAGGTAGGCACATATAGCATGGCCAGTGCCCAATCCTACTGGCAGCCCTTCTACTCAGGGTCCTCTACGCACTTTTCCCTCAAGTAGATTGGAACTTCGTCTTTGTCGATGACTTCCTGTGGCTGCTTCGAAGCGAGGGGGCAGTAAACTTGGCGGTGGCGCTGCTGGCAACACTCCTGGCCTTGGGCACCCCGCTTAGCTGGAAGAAGACGCATTTGGCGGAGGTTAACACATGGCTGGGTTTCGTGGTCCACCCGAACATCCCGCAGGTTCTCATGGCAGCCAACAAACACATCCTGGTTATGGAGGTTTTGCAGACCATGGTGGAAGGGCAGGCGATGCACTCAAAGGACATCGAGAAGGCCCTGGGTCGCATCCAATGGGCGACGGCTGCATGTCCGCTGGCGAAGTCGATGCTCCAGCCACTTTGGGCCTGGAAGATGGCCACCACCACGGTGGGGAAACCCCCCAAGGTGGTCAGGATGCTGGCGTTCATGCTGCGGTTCCTCTTCAACACGCCTTTCGTCCAGTACTCCCCTTACTTGCCGAAGTCCTCTTGGTGGGGTTGCAGCGATGCTAGCGCCTCGGACGAAGGACTGGCATTTGTGGGAGGTTGGTGCTCCAACAAAGTGGAGCCGGAAAGAAGGAGGTGTACTGGTTCCACGAGCAGATCCACGTGGAGGAGTACCCTTGGGCTTTCAAGAATGGGGATCCCAAGCGGAGGATTGCGGCTCTGGAGATGCTGGGGCTCTTCCTCTGTAACATGATCCTCACGCACCAAGGCCCTCTGTCCTCCCGGGTCCGACTCCCGGTGGGCAGTGACAATCAGGGCAACGTCATGGCGATGCTCAACCTTGGATCCAAGAAGCCCTACACGGCGGCGATCCTGATGGAGCTGGTCTTCCTGCTCCACACCCATGGCTGCTCGCTGGCGGCCAACCACGTGCCCCGTGAATTCAATCAATGGGCTGATGAGCTGACGCACCCAGATTTCTCTGGGTTCGACCCTTTGCAAAGGGTCCCCAAGCAGGAACTCTGCGAGGAGTTCGTTTTTCTCCCGCGTCTCCTGAATGGAGATGCATTTGACCTTAGCGCGGGCCCACCCATGCTCCCGTGACCGGAGCCGGTGGGCGACTCACTTCCCCTGGTGGCAGACCCCCCTGTGGCCTGGGTGCCACGGGCCCCGGCTCAGGGGCGGGCGCTATCAGTCTGCACACCCGTTCTTCAGTTTTTGAGATTGTGAGTTGGGTGGCCCATGGGGCCCACCCAGCCTTTGTCATCTGACAGGGGAAGATGAGTCCCTGGCACCAACACACTGCTCGGATAAAAGAGTTATCGCGTGCTTGTGTGTGGTGCCGTTTGGTTAGCTTGCATACACTTCACATTATTTTGGTTGACTCCGTAGGTCGGCCACTAGTCAGTTCGACTCACTTGATGTCGAGATGGTCCACCAGAGTCAGGCATGGGACCTGTACTTGGGGGCCTTCACTTGGGGCTGATATCGTCGTGTTCTTGCAACCCCAGAAAAAGTGTAGAGCCTATGTACCAGCACCCCCCGAACAACTGATCTCGTACCCATATTCAAAACTCCCAAGTGTCCAAAGAGCAGTAGTTGGAGAGTGCTGGTAGGACCCCCTTGCGCAAACAAACCAACGGGTATAGGTCAAAATTTACCCCAACAGCATATGGACCCCAGGTTTGAGTCCTTGTTTCCATTTGCCAGGCAACCCCTTTTGGGGATGCCGATTTTTTGTAGCACCGGACCCAAATTCCGCATTTTCCAAGGTACCATTTTGGGGTGACCCGATTTGGAGGCCGGCCCCAAGAGTCAACGCTGAGGCTTCGACTACTACGTCCACGGCTTGGTGGAGGAGGCCGGCGAGGTCTTGGAGGCCGTGGAGCTCAAGGGCGGCCTTCGCCTCGGTGAGCGCGAGAGCGGCGCGCGGCGCGCGGCGCGCGGCGCGCGGGAACCCCCACCCCCCCCCTTTCGTTGGCCCAGTTCCCGAGATGGGCAACTCACTTGGGGTACCCTCGTTTTCGGGCTGTTGACGGGAAACCAAGGGAGCACGGCTGTTTTCTTGCACAGAAAGACAAAGAATGGGTCCTATTTGGGACGCATCGCTTGGAGGCCTTTTTTTTCTTCTGTGGCGTTCTCCGTTTTCCTTTGCTCATTCGCATGGCTGTTGTTTGGGCTTCACGTTGGATTCGGACCCAGATGTTGCGGCCGAGCTGGGAGACGTGCTCTGGTACGCCACCGCCCTCAGCTTGGAGCTGGGCGGAGGAGCGGCGCAAATGGCCACACGACTCACGACAAGCTCCAATTGGGTGTCTATTTCTTGGAGCTGGCGCCCGCAATTTGTGGCGGGTTTTCAAAAAGGGAAACCCAAAGAAGCCGCAGGGAGTTGGTGCCTCAAGGGGTTTTTTCAATTGCACCCAGCAGGGAAAAAACGCCGCAGGCTGAAGCCCCCATTTTGTGGCGGGGGAGGGCTTCAGCCGTTTTCTGCGCCGCTGCACCCAGGAGCGCCCCCGTGGCCCCGGACCGAGGCGGCCGCACCCGAACCCGAGGCGGCCGAACCCGAGGCCGCGGTGCGGCTGCTGGCGCTGGCCGCGCGGCTGGCGGGGCGCACGAAGAAGGCCCTGCGCGGGGACCGGCCGCTGCAGGCGCTCGAAGCGCGAGAGTGCGAGGGCTGGTCGAGTCGAGGGAGTCGTTGGGACGTCGATTTTGAGGGCTTTTTGCGGTTTTTCAACTTTTCTCTGGAGCTGAAAACGCGAGCTGGTTGAGGTCAGCTTCAAAGTTTTGCTCCACCTTTCCGCTTCGCCAACAACCGACACGGGCGGAACTGCGGGGGGGGGGGGAGGGGTGCCATGGACACCTAGAGTCTATTTTGCAACCAAGAACCAAACAAAACGATACTGTAAAAGAAGGAGGTTGCAAAATAGATCCTAAGTGTCCACCATACGGGGGGGAGGGCCCTGAGCTTGCTCCCAGGACTTTGTGCCGGCCATGCAGGGCTACCTGTCGGAGGTGCTGCAGAGATGCGCGCAGGCGGGGAACCTGGGCGCCCCGGATCAAAATCAACCAGACATGTATTGATCAGAGTGTTCTCAGGCAATCCGCACCTCAAAGTGGGCTGAGTAGCGGCCAGCCCGTCTTTTCGAACAGCGAGACAAAGCAGGCAATTTTCAAGGATTCGCGCAACATGCATGCTTTCAGGATGCTCTCTCTCTCTGCCTCTCTCCCCCCCTCTCTCTCTCTCTCTCTCTCTCTCTCTCTCTTTCTTTCTCTCTCTCTCTCTCTCTCTCTCTCTCTCTCGCACAAGATGCCATGTGATTTTGCGGTGGGAGTTTCAAAGAAAGGCCAGTAGACACAAACAAACCTCATAAGAAACGTTGGAGTTCCGCCATCATGGCACCCCTGACTCTTCAGGTGGCACAGGCACATGGGCTGACGCTGCAGCGCTGCGCGCAGCTCAACGTGTGCAAGCTGAGAGGAAGGTTCCAACGCGGTGCCTCGCTTTGAACATTTGTTGGTCTTGGGGGGGTGGGGGATTGGCTTCCCAGAAGACTCTCAAGAAGGGAGCAGTGCTTGGTGGCTGTCTACAGAATGCGCAGCAACAAAATGTACACGACATGGTTCACTACCGGCTGCATTCTACTTGAACCAGACGCACACAACGCCCTCCAAAGGTCTCATTGACAGCTTTTGGTGAGCTCCCGAACCTAAACCCCTGGAGGCGACCAATCGGAGAGCTGAGGTACTGTCAAGGGTGACGGCGATGCACGCTGAGAGGCGGAAACGAAGCGAAAGTAGCCAAGCGGGCCTTCTGGAGGGCGTGCTTGGGTTCTGCTGGTTCTTTCTCAGATGGGGTGCAGACATGGGCAGCATGGGGACATTGCTGCATGAATGGCTGCTTGGGGAGGTCGAATCCAATCAGCGCTTTTCAATGGTTCACAATCTGGCTGTCAAGTTGTTCCTCGCATGTTTAGGTTCCCAATGGTACGTGATTCGGCCCACCCCTGCACTGCAATCATGTCTAATTCCTGCAGCGGAATGGGGAGGCAAAAAGTGGTGTGCGAGTGCTTTGCAGCGGGCAGTCCCAGGTGTTGATGGCGGAGGGCCACAATAGAAACAACGGGGTGAATAGAATCCTATTGTTTACTCTTTTGGGAGATTCATCATTGGGGCCTTGCCATTCATTTAATGGGGGGTGAACCCTTCCAAGTACCCATTTCATGTTTATTAATTTTATTGTTTTGGGGGAGTGGGGTGGCGGGGGGGCGACGTCATCCAAAAACGGTGTCTCAAACTAGGTGTCCAAAAGTGGGCGCTTTCCGAAAATCAAAAGGGGTTCTAGATCCGGGGTTTGGTTTCAAAAAGGACACTACCGATTTGTTTGGTTGCGCAAGGAAACCCGACATTCCTTTTTTCTGGAAAAAAAACCGTCAACATGATGGTTTTCCTTCTGGTTTCCCCTTAACACCAACCAATCCACCAACAGGGGGTACCCTCGCACCAATGAAGCTGGAACCTGCCACAAATTCCCTGAAAAGGACAATTATCTTCTAGGAGCCTCTTGTCAGGTTCCATGTTGATTGGGTCATGGGGGCTGGGGGGAGGTAGGGGAAGGGAGCCCAAATAAGCCTCCCTCCCCTCCCCCCCCCGGGTACCTTCCACCGAACGGTACCTTCCAACAGGAACACTATCCACCCGCGACATTTCCGCTCCGAGGCCGCCGTCCCGGGCGCGGACGCGCAGCTCCTCCCGGCGCAAGGCCTCGCCGGCCCCCGCCTCGCCGGCGCCAGGCGCCCATCGCTTTCGGTCGGTCGGCGAGATGAGTTGGGGGTTCGCTCACCGGGGGTCCCTATATCCTTTGGCTCATTTCCCCTTTCGCTCATGTCCCCTCTCTCTCTCTCTATATATATATATTGTTTTTTTCCCCTATGTTTTCAACATCACCTTGTTGGCTCATTTGAGATGATCTCCCCTTGGGGGGTGATGCTTCAATGGGAAGTGCAGGGAATCCTGACTAACATGCATGGAACCACGTGAAACCCACCCACCAGAGGAAGTCAGGTTCCATGTTGGAGAGGCGACCCCGTTTTCTTTTTGCGGTCTCAAGATTTGGAGGGCTCGGCACCCCTTTCTTTCTGTTGCAAAAGACAACCGGCGGGAGCAAAACACAGTTTGTGGCTTAGGGGATAAAAGGGAAAAAAACAAAGAATTTTGAGGAGATAGGGATGTAAGTTATAAGGATATAGGGATGGTCATGAAACCCATCGAGAAGTTAGCCGGCCTTACGAAAAATGAAAAGAAGTCAAAAAGGGAAAATACAAAGAACACACTCCCGAAATAAATCCGCACCCATCTTATTTTCCGGGAACCACTGCCATGGCCAACATGACGAGTCTGACCACGGCACATGGCTGCGTGTTGTTCTAGAAAAGCCCCTTTTTTGGTTGGTTTCAAAGGGAAAGCAAGAGGATTGTTGGTGCTCAATTTTAAGGCGAACCCTACTGTGGCTGGTTGCGAAATCCATTTTGCGCCACCATTCAGAAACCCAACGGAGCGCTTTGATTCCCCAACGTGAATGGCCGCGGGTCAAAAATACGTACAATGGAACCCTAGGCCCTAAGTGCACTGGACTAAACCAGTACCTGCGGCTTTCTGGGCGGTTTTTTCAGCTTTGACCCCATGCCATCCAGAAAGCCACAAAGGTTATGGACACCCATGGCTTCTTGCGCGGTGCGACCTGGACGCGCCATCCGCCGTCTTTCGCGCCGCGGGCACGCGGCGGCCAGGCCCCGGCGGCTCGCCGGGCGGTGCCCGCTGCCCCTGGCGCGAGAGCTCGGAGCGAAAGTTGGGGGCGCGGCTTGACTCAGAAGGAACCCCCCCGTTTTAGGTGGTTGCCCCCCAGTGAACATCCCGATCCCCACTAAAATAGACCAAAATGGGCTACCCCTTCATGGACAGGCAGCGAGGTGTAAACAAAAAGAAACATGTAGGAACAAGGGGGGAACCTACATCTTTGATCCTCCCTGCTGGACTCACAAGGGGGATTCCTAGTTTTGTGCAGTGAGGAAACCAAAGGGACAAACATCCGCCCGGTTTTGGGGCTTCCATATGAGACAACTTCTGGAATTAGACGACTGACACGTTCGCGAAGGCACGGTCCTGGTGCGGCCCGCAAGCTGGCGCCGGCTTTGATGTGAGGCTGGGGTTGGGAATGGAAGCCACAAAGAAACCAATTGAGCTTCAAATGGCTGTGGGTCAACACCAATGGGATCCCATTTTGGAGTAGGTGTACCACCCATTTTAGAACCTATCTTATTGGTTGGATTGAATCGGATGTTCACTAGGGGTGCGGGGTTTTGACCCACGCAGCGACGGCGGCGCCCCTTTGGCGTGCGACGATATGTTCGCAGGCCGAAGCGAGCGGAAAGAGATGCCCGCTGCCTCGGAACGGCCGCTGTTGACACCCCTAGACTCTTGCCCGGCCGGGCGGAATTGTACTATAGCCTCGGGGAAGTGACAGCACTCCTCATTCCGAATCAAAGACGGTCTCCACACCTGATTTTTTGTCATTTTTCTGTTAATGCAAGGGCATGCCAATACAAGCGTAGCTGAGCCCTTCTTGCTTCTTGATAGCATTGCGCTTAGTGGAGGCTGTTGCACGCTGCATGGGGTATGTCCTAGAAGCATCGAGTACCGACAGTATGGGGGCAAGAGGGTAGATGGCTCCAGAGGTCCCAAGGAAAGAGGTGGGTTCGTGACTTGTGGCGGGAACCCTATGTTCACACATAGCTATAGTCGATAGGGCGCAAATTCATGGTACGGCTTTAGGCCAGATTGCAAGACCACGAAGGGGAACGCAGAGGTGCAAAAAAATGGGCGCGCCAATGCCACGCTGCTTGCTGCAAGACGCGATTGCTGCTCGTTTTTCCCCCCCCCCCCCCCCCGGCCGCGCGACGTGGGGGCGTCGCTTTCTTCTTTTTTTTGCGCCGCTGTTGGCTCCGGGAAGCTGAGCCTTGGTCCGGTGGTCCGGCTGGCCCTGAGGCAAGGCGTCGCTCAGTTGGGGCATTTGATCGAGCGGCTCGCTTCAGGGCGCTGGGTGCATGTCTGCTGCCAAGGCCGGGGGTTTGCTCAGGCAGACGTTGCCTCATGAGCCACGAGGCGGAAGCTATGAGACCTTGCCAGGATCTGGTGCTGCGCGCGCTGGTGGTTGCCACACTTCTCTGGGCAGCCCAAGTCTTGAATGATGGCTACAAGGAGCCAACTGCCATTTGGCTGTGGGTCAAAACCAATAGGATCCCATTTTGGGAGCGCCACCCATGTGAGTCTATTTTAGTGTGGATTGGGATGTTCACTGGGGGTACGGGGGTTTTGACCCATGGCCATTTCATTCCAGTGACAGGCAAATCGGCAAGTGGGGTCCGGAAGCTTGCCGTGTTTTGTGGCGCCCAGGAGATCCAGGCCAGACGCCTCAAGACCGAGGCGCGCAGCCGCAGAGCTTTTGACACAAAGCTCGGATGTCCCGAGCTCGGCGTGGCCAGGCGCAGGGATCGCAGAATGATGACATCATCATGAGCCTGCTGTGCTTCGCAGGCTGCCCTCAGGGAGTCGAGTCGGACAGTTCCAACTTGCTCTTTTTTTTGGGAGGCTAGGTTGATATCCACCGTTGATCTGTCGATTCGGCTTGCTTTTCCGGTTTACGTTTACGTAAAACATCACCCATGATGCTCGCTTGATCATGTGCGGGTCGCAGGGATTCGAGGTGAAGTCGGAATAGGTCGCTCAGTCCTCTGCCAGGGATGCTGGTCGCGCAGCTCTTCTTTCGGCATCTCTTCGCGGTGGCGGGCCGCCGAGTCATCACGTGCCTGATTCGAGCTTCGGGGCTATCACGCAGGTGGCCCGCGCGATGATCCCGAAGAAGCCGAGATGGTCCCACAAAGTCTGGGGCGCCAAGGTGCGGGAACTCAGTACCCAGCCCGCCCTCAGTGACTCAGCTGCCTGGCTCAAGGTTTTGGGTTCTGGGCGGTCGCGACATTTTTCACGCGTGCAGGTGACGCGATGTTGCGACTCTGTGTTCAAGTTGGCAACTTAGACCCGGGGCGGTGTTCCATGTTCTCTTTGGGGCATGGCCACTTTTGAACTTGCACTGGTCTTTTTGCCCAGGTTCTTCTACTATTGTGCCATGACCACTTGGTGCTTTGCCTTGCTGAAAGGCGCGGGGCTCCGACGAACATGCAACCCGAGTTGGGTTTGGTGGGAAGGTAGTTTGTGCACACCAAAGAAGGCATCCAAGTCTCCCTGCAGATGAGCCCTGGCTGCCACGACTGCTCGGCGGCAGCGGCGACACCCGCTTCTGCTGGACAGGATACCCCTTGCAGGAGTGTCGTGAGAGTGAGTTGCTTTGGCCTGCTTTTTGTGTAAGATCCGGATCCCGGAAAGCGAAGCCACAATCGGAATCCTCGAGTGCATTCCCCAAAACCCCAGTGCTGGTCTACAACGGTTGAGCCATTTAGGGGCAACATGACTGAACTTTGAACCTTGGACGACAAATGTTGCTTCGAGAAATTGCATTCGTTTTGCGGTCGCAGGTGACGCGGCGTGCGGTGCCCCACATGTTTTGCTAGTTTGAATCTGCGGAGGCAGACGCAACGACCCGGTGCCATGCGGTTTGTGAGCGGGTGTTCCCTTGGGGCGGGTGTTCCATTGGGATGGACGCAATCATTCGTTGCATGTAGCCTCGCAAGCCTTAAAACACTGCCAGGGCGCAGCTGACACAGTCTTAGGGTTGCAGATGGTGCGTTTTTTGGAGTTGCGGACGATGCGGGTGCCCATTTAGGTATGTGTCAAAATAGGGGACCCAAAATTGCCGGTTTTCCTTTTGGGTTCCTAGAAACACTACCCGGAAAAGGGTAGCCTCGGCAAAGCGCAGGCCTTTGGATTGCATTCGCGCGCTAGGAGTTCTCCCCGGATCTGCGGCGATTCTATCTCACCGCGGTGGGCTACCACTTCAGCGAGGAGGGCCGGTCGCAATGAGTGCGCCGATGTGACCAACAGAAGTCTAGTGTAAAACCTGGCAGCTTGTAGTACCTTGAATAGAACTGGGTAGCTGGGAAACTGGACGCACTGGGTATGATGTGTTAAGGGAAATCATTTGGCTGTGGTTGTCAAAAATCGGAATCGCCCAAGTGGAACCCTGGTAAGTGGAAACATGGAAAGCTTGCGGTCCAGATCCTGGTGGTTGAAAATTTTGACCCATACCCATCCGCGGGCTCCAACATTGGGACCTTTCGATGCGAGGTCTTGATGCTCTTGCTCGAGGTGAGACATCCCGACTTCTGGGAGATGCTGCTGCACCACCTGGTGACGACGGGGGGCCTAGTGGACAGAGAGGAGGAAGGCATCCGCTTAGGTATGCAAAAACACATATTAAATGTGGCTGTGGGTCAAAACCAATGGTACCATTTTGGGATAGGTGCACCACCCTTTGTAGTCTATTTTAGCTGGGATTGGGATGTTTCCTGGGAGTACGGGATTTTGACCCATGGCCATCTGTTTTTATGCGGCCAGGAAGTTGAATTGAATAAGAAGCCCCCTCCAAATAGAAGTGAGGGGACACGGAATCCCCATGTAAGGACGCTCACCAAAGGGTCCCCAATACGTCCATCCGTCCATCCGTCCATCCATCCATCCGTCTATTCATCCATCCATCCATGCATCCATGCATCCATGCATCCATGCATCCATGCATCCATGCATCCATGCATCCATGCATCCATGCATCCATGCATCCATGCATCCATGCATCCATGCATCCATGCATCCATGCATCCATGCATCCATGCATCTATGCATCCATGCATCTATGCATCCATGCATCCATGCATCCATGCATCCATGCATCCATGCATCCATGCATCCATGCATCCATGCATCCATGCATCCATGCATCCATGCATCTATGTCTCTAGGTGCTCCCTCCCTCCGTACGTCAGGTACGTACGTACGTTTGTACGCACGTCGGTGCATCCGCGCATACAAGCACGCATGCACAGTTGCATGGATAGACGTGTACCGTAAACACATACACGCATACAACCACACACACACAACCATACAGACACAAGGACAAGCATCCACACTTGCAAAACAGCCAGCAAGCAAGCACGCACGCAAGCAAGCAAGAAAGCGAGCCAGCAAGCAAGCAGGCAAGCCAGCCAGCCAGCCAGCGAGCAAGAAAGCAAGCGGGGTGTCAAACTACATGCTTCACTTCTTGCACTTGTGTTGCATGCATGTACACTACTGCAGGCCTTGAGCTTACTACGACTGCATTAGTGAAAAGGTTGGCAGCTGCAGACTACATTGGTTTATGTTTGTGACAACGCAAAAGCGCTTGCACTTGTAGTCAAAGTAACAACTGATTTTAACGTGGTAGCGGAGCTGAGATCCTAAACATAGGGGAGCTCCAGTATTCAGCAGTAGGTACTACAACAACTGCAACAGCAATCACATGCCAAACTACTACGACATGTCAGGAGAACTACGCATCCACACAGACTCCACAGCAGGCAAGAGCATTGCTACACGACAAGGCACAAGCAAACGAGCAAAGCAAATCGACCTCAAATTTCTCTACACACAAGACCTCATGAAACACGACATCATCAGAATCCTTAAGATCAACACACTCCACAACAGCGCAGATTTGTTTACCAAATGTAGCAGCAAGGAAACGCTACACAGGCTCATCCAGAGCATTGGGACACGCGTTTAGCACTACGAACGACCAGCGCAACAGTTTCACAACAACAACAACAACGACTTTGAACATTATTGTATGTGTGTAGCTACATGTAACACGACGCTTTTGGTATGTAAGTAGCAGCAACTCATGTAATTTCACTTGCACTTTTGGCGGCTTGAGTCAACACTACAGTTGTTTGTTTTACATGTCTGCATGCGCCGCCTGCCTGATAGCTGCTACTCAGGCTCATTCGTTTTTGCCCCGTTTCACCACATTTGCATTCCACTGCAGCAATGGCCGCACCACCTACTGCAGATGCTACGATGGGAGGAGCGACTACGCCTGACAGGGCGACTACACCTGAGGTGGCAATCAGTATTGACACCAGTGATCAAGGAATGCCACCTCCTCAGGACTACACCGAGGCCAACTACCGCTTCAACCACACCACGCCTGGCGCTACGGCTTGCTACAACCCGGCAACCGTCATGGAGCAACTACACCTCACGAAGTACCAGACTACCACTACGCCACTACTGCGCAACAACACTCCCTACGCTCAACTCTTCACTGCGCTTACACTTGAAGAGTATCAACTACTCTCCCTACAACAAGCAACTCCACTTTCGCAACTTGACTACACACTACCCATTCACTGCATCCCAGGAGACCTCCGGACGCCGCGCTACAATTCCACACTGCTCAGCATCTCACTACCTGAAGCAGCCAATGTACACTACTACCACACAACATCAATGCTCACTACAACTGGCAACAACTACACCTACGTCATTGTTCAACTACAGGTTGAACAACGACTCTTTTTGAGGTATCTTACCTCTGGACAATTTGTCCACTTCACAAGGGACTGCATCTCCCACATGATGTCAATCCAGAACACCTTCTACCTCCCAACTACACAACACCCACAACTTGTCTACAAGGTGGAGTATGACATGACTACTTTCACCGACACCTGCAACCTGAAGAACAACTACATCTGGAACTACCACATGCCACTTCTACTACCGGACCTCCTACACTACCTCTACAGTTGGTTGCGGTTGTAGAGATAGTGTAGGAGGTCCGGTAGTAGAAGTGGCATGCGGTAGTTCCAGATGTAGTTCAGCTTCTTCACCACGCACTACTTTGCAACCTTGGACAGTCGACTACAGATAATCCAAGCCTACCGGGCCCAGCGCTGGGCGCTACATGCCTGAGCTAGGAGCTCAACTACATCAGGTAACTGCCTCACGAACTCCATCCAGCACTTGCACTACTTTGTGCTGGACCACGAACAGCGTGAGCTACCGAGAGCAGCTTACTACTTTTTGCCACTACAGTAGCATTGGTGAATAACAATGGTTTTCATCACTACTGCCAATCCCTGTTTTTGCACTTCAGTTGAAAAGGCGCTGCAAAGACCTTTTAACTGAGGGGCCGTGTCAAACTACATGCTTCACTTCTTGCACTTGTGTTGCATGCATGTACGCTACTGCAGGCCTTGAGCTTACTACGACTGCATTAGTGAAAAGGTTGGCAGCTGCAGACTACATTGGTTTATGTTTGTGACAACACAACAGCACTTGCGCTTGTAGTCAAAGTAACAACGGATTTTAACGCGGGGGAGAGGGAGAGAGAGAGAGAGAGAGAGAGACAGAGAGACCAACACAGAGAGCGACAGACAGAGCAAGAGAGCGGCAGACAGAGCAAGAGAGCGAGAGAGAGGGAGAGAGCGAGCCAGAGGAAGACAGACAGAGAGAGACACAGAGACACAGAGAGACAGACACGGAGACAGACAGACATGCTTGTACACATACAAACATGCGCGCGCACACAAACAAGCAAACAAACAAAAATACATGAACACGCATACACACATAATTGCATAGATGCGCATGACTCCCTCATAGTTGCTACCAAGCTGCAAAAGCTCCCCGTGCCGTGGCTCTAAATAACTAAAAGACATGCGCGGGCAGGTGCTGTCTGGTGGGCTTCTCCTACAGTTTGAGCTACGTTCGCCGGACCCTGAGTTGTCTTCAACTGGCACGTCCCAACTGTCGGTGGCTCCGAGGCATCGGAAGCTTGGTCTTGCTGCTCCACGGCATCACCGATATTTTCATCTACCTGTCCAAGGCTCTCGCGCTTGGGGCTCCATGCTGCGTTTCCGGGGGGGTGGGAACCTGAAAGGGGGACATCAGCGTCTCACCGCCAGGTTCGCTTTGGTTCTTGTTTTGGGTTTGCCCTCTTGGGTCCTGCGAGGCGCTGGTGGACACTCCGAACACCCGCGCGATTGTGGTTTCCTACTTTGCCCTGGTTGTGTCCTACGTTTGGCGCACTCGGCGTGTTTGACATGAGAGAGCAGTGGCCCATCAATCGGGTTGACCACCTCAGAATTTGGCCGCCAGGTCGTTTGCACAAATTTTGGCCAGGTTTAGAATCATCGTCTTTCCCGTCTCCATCATGAGAAGCGTTTGGGTGGAGAGCATACAAGAGGCGCGCTTCGCAAGCACCCGGCCACCGATCGCGCTGCGACGCCGACGCGGCGACGCCTGTCGAAACGAGGCGAAGCCAGAGCGCATCGTCTCCTGGGGCTTTATGAACTTCGGCCTTGCCGGGGCCCTCTGATTGGTTGTCTTTCTGTTTTTGGTGAACCTCCATGTTTGCTTTTGGTTGCCCCCCCAAAAAAGCACAAGAGGGCACTCATTTGCAGGGTGTGACTTCCTGTGGCTGTGGTGGTCAAAACCGTTTTGGGATCAAACATTTTGGCTGGTAGGTGAATTCACCACCCATTTTGAAACCTATTTTAGTGGGGATTGGGATGTTCACTGGGGGGTAACCGGGGTTTTGACCCATGGCCATGTTTCCTTTTGGTTGCCCTCTAGGACCAAGCACAAGAGGGCACCCAATTGCAGGGTCTCACCATTTTCGAAGGGAGAAAATCCGTGTTTCGGCCGCAGTTGGGGGGAATGGGGGGGGCAGTGAAGCGACGCTGAGTTCACCATCTTCCTTCTGCACATGTACTGGTTTGGCATGATCCTGAAGATTGGCACGTACTACAGGCAATTGGAGGATTTGGATTCGGGACATTTGCTGCTGTTGCATTAGCCAGGCAGACTGGGCAAGCTCGGGACTTGCAGTCCAACCTCTCCTCAATGGCTGCTTCCTTAGAGATCACCGGAAGCAAAAAGAAGTTTGTGTCCCTGACTTACTGGGTGATCCTGTTGCCAGCATGAGTCAATGAGGACTTTGGCGACAAAAAGCGGATGTAGTCGCAGCGAGCACGAAAAGAGAACTCGGAGGCACAGGTCCATGAGTGCCCAAAGGCGGCGCTCCTTCCTGGCAAGCAAGGATTCTAGTTCGGGCCAACTGAAGACGGTTAAGCCTCGTCTTGGTGCAAACAGTCAATGGGTTTTGGGGGCTCACATCATTGTGACCGCCACGTGGCTCCAGGGCTGATTCACTTCCAGCCTGAAAATGATTCCTTTTCATGGAACACATTTACCACAACTTCGCACAGTATTTGCACCGAGTGACTTTCCACTCGCGCGTTTGAATAGCCGACGGCTGTGAATCGCGCGGCGCCCGGAAGTGCAGGGCCCCCAGGATTTGGAGCAGGCAACCTGAACATCCACCGGTCCAAAGTGCGCTCTGCACGGGCGGAAGTTTCGCGGAAGTGTCAGTCTGAGGTGAGCCCATCATGTGCGCTTCTGGTCTTGAGAAGAGCAATGAGAAGGCTCGGTGGCACTGATAGCCATCGTGCACTGCGCCTCTAGAGCCAAGATACAGAGCCAGGTTGTGAACACGAAGGTCTTGGAAAAGCAACTTCAGAAGCTTCTTGCGGGGTCCAGTCACCTGCAGGCAGGGCCCCTTGTGGCCTTTTTTGCTTCTCACATGGCTTGGATGCGATGGATTGCTCATGGCGCCTTTTTCCGCTGAGGTGCACGCCCAAGCATCGCTGAAGCTGCTGATGCGCAAGAAGCTGCGCAGCAAGATTGGCAGCAGGTTTGAGGCCAAGCTCGACAAGTTCGACGGCAAGCTGGAGGAGAAGCTTGAGAACAAGGAGAATGAGTTGGAGAGCAAGCTGGACTATGAGGACGAGCTGGAGAACAAGCTGGACGATCCTTGGCAATAAATCCATGTGTGAAAGAGGAATATGGTTTTTGCCGCACTGCCGAGGTCAAAGCAACTCCGGCATCACAGCTGCTGCCCCAAATGTCAACACTTGGCTCACTATGGTTGTGGCTTTGGTAGGCTCACTGTGGCTCAAAAATGGGGTACCTGCCAATCCCTGGGTTTAGGGTTTCTTGACCAAAAGACCACCCAAATCTGCTGATCGTGACGCCAGCCCCAGCAAGGTGGATGAGGCAGATCTCGGCTCCGGCTGCCGTGCAACAGATGCAAGAGGCGAGTGCTGGTTGAGACGTGCAAGCCGATCCAAGTGGCTGACTCATGGCTTCACTGACACAACTTCAGAGAGTACATTTTGAGATGAATTGCTTTGGCTCTGACTGAGCAGGTCAAGGAGGTGCAGCCGGAGGAGGACTTGTAGAGTTTCGTCACGTACAGTTGTTTTCCGACCGGCCAAACGGAGGGGGATTCAAGCTTGGGAAGCGTCAGTGCCATGCATGATGTAGCAAGGTGCTTCTCACTAAAGGCGCAACCCACACATGTTGCAGGGTTTGGTCGCGCACATTCGCAGGAACGACCCGTCATGCGCCGTCAACCTAGTTGCAAGAGTTTTTGGACCATGCTTTCAGCATACCCAAATCGTGAACAGAAGTTCGGATCCTAGGCTTTCGCTACCCAAGGCTTGTCTCAGTGTCCATTAGTTTTCTTTTGCCTCAAAGGCCGTGAAGCCAAGAGCGCCCTCCTGCACCATTCATCGACCTGCCCAGGCGGGTCGTGCAAACAGATGCGAGCTGACCTGGCATTTGGTGATCATTTTGACCGGATTCACAGACTCCAGATAAAAAGCTGTTGAAGGGGATCCTGGGTCTTTGTAATCTGTCAGCACTGGCCACGCCAGGCTATGGTCGTCCGTACCTTTGGCTGCACGGTTTCAAGTCGACGGTTTCACGGCGAAGCGCTGCCTTTTCGCTGGCGCCAAATGGCCATGGGCCAAAATCCAAGTCGTACCAGTGAACATGGGCGGTGAATTCACCTACCAAGTCGGAGGTTCCAAAATGGGTCCAAGAATTCACCCTGTTTATCCCAAGACGGTTTTGAGCACAGACTTGATCTCAGGACGCCGGGCTTCTGGCCGAGCTTCGTGGTGGAGCTCTTCCAGAACGTCCGTGCCAGGGCTTGGGAAGAAGGCGGCGAGTGGGGGAAAGAAGACGTAGGAAGCTAGTGAGGTCCACCAAACGGGGGTGTCTCACTTTCGGATGGTTCCCGTTTTGGGATGTTATTTAAGGGCTGCCGCCCAGTGCCGCCGACCCCTCCGCTGGGGGCCAGCCCAGGTTTTTTTTTGTTCTGGCAGCGGCTTTTGGCTGGTTCAGGCTTGCTGGCTTGCTGGCTTGCTTGCTCGCTCGCTTGATTGTTTGCTTGTTTTCAGCGCTTTTCCAGGCCGCGCTCGTTTGCCCACACAGCGAGCACCAACCAAAGGAGCGCTATATGGAAAGTAGACAGCAATCGGTCCCCAGGGCGCAACCAGCAAGAACAGCTTCGCGTCCAGCGCGCTTGGAGGCCGCACTCGCTTCGCTGCAGCGAGCACGAACCAAAGGAGTGCGCCGGCAGCCTGCTCCGCCGCGGCCGAGTGCCTAACGTCGCATTAGAGTCCAACATGCAGCAAAGCTATCGGTGCAGAGGGAGCGGCCAGCCACAAAAGCTTCGCTTCCCGCGCTTTTCCAGGCCGCACTCGTTTGTCCACAGCGAGCGCCAACGAAAGGAGTGCGCCGGCAGCAGAAAGGAAAAGGAAAGCAACCAAAGGAGTGCGCAGAAAAGGAGAAAAAGGAAGAAAAAACGCCGTACGGGCGGGCCGCGAGAGAGCTTCAGCGCTGAAAACTGTGCCCTGCAGGTGTTCGAGCGCTGTTTTAGGCCGCACTCGTTTGCCCCCCACAGCGAGCACCAACCAAAGGAGTGCGAAGACAGGCCGAACGGGCTGGCCGTGACAGAGCTTCAGCGCTGAAATCTGCGGCCAGCAGGGGTTTGAGCACTCTCGGCCTTCTCAGCTCAGGGGTAGTTGGTGTAGCGGCATCACACCCAGCATGTGAGAGGGCGGGCTCAATCCCCGGCCTGTCCATGCCCATGCGCGCCTGCGTCTGGGACAGTCTGCCGATCCCTGCTCTTCTTTCCTTTGGGTTTGCTGTGCGTCTTGCCAAGGGCGGCTGTTTCCACCGCGGCCGGGTGCCGAACGTCACTGTAGAATCCTATACAGAAGGTAGAAAGCTATCGGTCCCCAGGGCGCAAGCAGCAAGAACAGCTTCGCGTCCAGCGCGCTTGGAGGCCGCACTCGCTTCGCCGCAGCGAGCACGAACCAAAGGAGTGCGCCGGCAGCCTGCTCCGCCGCGGCCGGGTGCCTAACGTCGCGGCTGAGTCCAATATGCAGCAAGGCTATGGGTCCAGAGGGAGCGGCCAGCCAGAAAAGCTTCGCTTCCCGCGCTTTTCCAGGCCGCACTCGTTTGTCCACAGCGAGCGCCAACCAAAGGAGTGCGCCGGCAGCAGAAAGGAAAAGGAAAGTAAGAAAAGGAGTGCGCCGGCAGCAGAAAAGCAGAAAGGACGAAAAAAGGCCGGACGGGCGGGCCGTGACAGAGCTTCAGCGCTGAAAAGTGGGTCCTGCAGGAGCTTGAGCGCTTTTTCAGGCCGCACTCGTTTGTCCACAGCGAGCACCAACCAAAAGGAGTGCGCCGGCGTCAAAAAGGAAGAAAAGAGGCCGAGCGGGCGGGCCCGCACTCGTTTGCCCACAGCGAGCACCAACCAAAAGGAGTGCGCCGACAGCAGAAAGGAAGAATAGAGGCCGAACGGGCTGGCCGTGACAGAGCTTCAGCGCGGAAAGCGGTGCCCAGCAGGTAGTTGAGCACTCTCGGCCTCATCAGCTCAGGAGCAGTGGGTGTAGTCGCATCACACCCGCTCAGCATGCGAGAGAGGCCGGGTTCAATCCCCAGCCTGTCCATGCCCATGTGCGCACTGCGTTGGTCTTTCTCGCTTAGGGTTTGCTGTGCGTCTCGCCAAAAGCGGCTCCTGCAGGGCACAGTTTTCACCGCTGAAGCTCTGTCACGGCCCGCTCGTCCGGCCTTTTTGCTTCCTTTCTGCTGCCGGCGCACTCCTTTGGTTGGTTCTCGCTGTGGGCAAAGGAGTGCGGGCCCGCCCGTTCGGCCTCTAGTCTTCCTTTCTGCTGCCGGCGCACTCCTTTGGTTTCTTTCCTTTTCCTCTCTGCTGCCAGCGCAAGCGCGGGAAGCGAAGCTTTTGTGGCTGGCCGCTCCCTCTGGACCTTCAGCGCTGAAAGCTATGCGCAGCAGGTATTTGAGCACTCTCGGCCTGCTCAGCTCAGGGGCAGTTGGTGTAGTGGTATCACACCCGCTCAGCATGCGAGAGGGGCTGGGTTCAATCCCCGGCCTGTCCATGCCCATGTGCGCCTGCGTCTGTCACAGTTTGCCTCTCCCTGGTCTTTCATCCCTTTGGGTTTGCTGTGCGTCTTGCCAAGACCGGCTGGTACGCCGCGGCCGGGTGCCAAACGTCACTTTTGAATCCTATATAGAAAGTAGAAAGCTATCGGTCCCCAGGGCGCGACCAGCAAGAACAGCTTCACGTCCAGCGCGCTTGGAGGCCGCACTCGCTTCGCCGCGAGCACGAACCAAAGGAGTGCGCCGGCAGCCTGCTCCGCCGCTAGAAAGCTATCGGTCCCCAGGGCGCGACCAGCAAGAACAGCTTCGCGTCCAGCGCGCTTGGAGGCCGCACTCGCTTCGCCGCAGCGAGCGCGAACCAAAGGAGTGCGCCGGCAGCCTGCTCCGCCGCGGCCGGGTGCCTAACGTCGTGTTTGAGTGGCCTCTTTTCGCTGTGGGCAAACGAGCGCGGCCTGGAAAAGCGCTCAAGCACCTGCAGGGCACAGTTTTCAGCGCTGAAGCTCTGTCACGGCCCGCTCGTCCGGCCTTTTTGCTTCCTTTCTGCTGCCGGCGCACTCCTTTGGTTGGTTCTCGCTGTGGGCAAAGGAGTGCGGGCCCGCCCGTTCTAGTCTTCCTTTCTGCTGCCGGCGCACTCCTTTGGTTTCTTTCCTTTTCCTCTCTGCTGCCGGCGCAAGCGCGGGAAGCGAAGCTTTTGTGGCTGGCCGCTCCCTCTGGACCTTCAGCGCTGAAAGCTATGCGCAGCAGGTATTTGAGCACTCTCGGCCTGCTCAGCTCAGGGGCAGTTGGTGTAGTGGTATCACACCCGCTCAGCATGCGAGAGGGGCTGGGTTCAATCCCCGGCCTGTCCATGCCCATGTGCGCCTGCGTCTGTCACAGTTTGCCTCTCCCTGGTCTTTCATCCCTTTGGGTTTGCTGTGCGTCTTGCCAAGACCGGCTGGTACGCCGCGGCCGGGTGCCAAACGTCACTTTTGAATCCTATATAGAAAGTAGAAAGCTATCGGTCCCCAGGGCGCGACCAGCAAGAAGCTTCGCGTCCAGCGCGCTTGGAGGCCGCACTCGCTTCGCCGCAGCGAGCACGAACCAAAGGAGTGCGCCGGCAGCCTGCTCCGCCGCGGCCGGGTGCCTAACGTCGCGGCTGAGTCCAATATGCAGCAAGGCTATGGGTCTAGAGGGAGCGGCCAGCCAGAAAAGCTTCGCTTCCCGCGCTTTTCCAGGCCGCACTCGTTTGTCCACAGCGAGCGCCAACCAAAGGAGTGCGCCGGCAGCAGAAAGGAAAAGGAAAGAAAAGAAACGAAGAAGAACAAGAAAAAAGGGAAAGAAAGAAGGCTGGTAAGGTACAGGGCTGAACGGGCGAGGGCGAAAGGGAAGGGAGAAGGCTGCCACAGTCACGCTCCAACGCTAAACGAACACTCCCCCAGCGCCTTCCCCTTGCAGGCAGGGGGTCGGCGGATTTGTTTTTTTTGGGGGGGGACGTCTTTTTTCGTTGGATCCGATGCCTATGTCAAGGCAGAGCCCCAATTTAGCACGCATCTGAGGCCGGGAGAAGCCCGTGGAAGCTGCATCTGAGAGCGGCTTCCGACTGATGTGCGGCTCCTTTCAGATGCCTCACCCACAGAAGGCGGCTCGTTTCGTTCAGCGGCTGGCACACCAGGTCTGTGTGACGCACCTGTGGAATAAAACCGTTGAAAACGCTCGCGGCAGGCCAGCACCGGTGGCGAGGACAGCCTTTTTGTGTGCCCCAACGGCAGCGCCGCAGGCCAGAGACGAGGAAAGCGTGCAATGTCCACACATCATTTGTTCCTTTTCTTGCGTAGGAGGTGAACCCATGCCAAAAGAACCGCCCCCAAGACTGACAAGTTTTGCAGACCTGGGACACACCGCGTAGGTGTGGCTGATGGGGTTGGCGAATGGCAGTGGCGCTTTGGCCTCGACCCCCGGGCCTTCGCCGATGAGCTGATGCCGCTGTGGCACCCAAAGTGGCAAATTCTTATGAATCAGCGGATTTTTTTTGGTCGGCACAGCTGGTTTGAGCTGGGGTTCCGAGAGATGCACGTCCCAAGGTGCACATTGTCAACCAAGATCACTCGAGTTCCACAAGGGTCTGTCATTGTTGCTTTTTGGGCTTCCAAAAGTCACAGTGACAATTTGTTTCAAGACAGTTGGTGTTAAGGGGAACCCATTGACCCCTCTTCCACTCGATTGTCAAAGTTCAAGTGAGCCACAATCAAAACCCGGGTAGATAATCCCAACCATAATAGCTGCGGCCGCCTTCTTAATTCTTTGGGCGATTAAAGCTGCGAGCGTGTTTTCCGGTCTTGGGTACAATCGATCCTACTCACGGCTGAATGCTCTTTTCTCTCGTACCGTCGACTTGCAAATCGCTTTTGAACGGACCTCCCCTGCAAGCATTTCCGTAGGTTTCCCGAACCTATGGCAAGCAAGCAGTTCCCATATTTACCAACAAGAGTTGAGGGGTGTTCAAAACAAAGGCTGGACGAGGGATGAAGATCTGGGATGAAGATGTGGGATTCTGGGACAGAGGATTTGCTCTGAGGTTTGGTGTGAAAACCGCTGGCGAGCACACCAGATCCCAGGCGGGATGGAAGGTTGCGGGCAACAAAAAAGGCGCCTCAAACACCCGCGCAAAAATGGGAGGGGGCCCCAAACCGGAGATGCGGTACTTCGGCCCAAAGACAGCCAGGCTGGTTTGCTGGCGGAAGCGCGCGCCAGACTCATGCTGTCCGAGGGGTACCAGGCAGCTTTCCTTTCGGCTGCATGCATTCATGAGCCATCACGTGTTCCCACGGGCATGGGGAAATTTGAAGAGTCCCAGGGCTTTTCTGGGAAGTTTGATGAGAGCCCCTCAATTCCCTCTCTTCACCAGTGGGAAGTTCTGAGCTTCACATGCGTCAGGCAACAAGTTCATTTGGCTCCGCGACAGCCTTGGTGGCTGCGCTGGATCCGAACGGAGAAGGCAAGTTGGGCGTTGCGAACCTCGGCGACTCGGGTCTCAGGCGCGAGCCAAAGAGGTTTGTCAGGGCTGGGCACAGTTGCAAGCTTCGCTCGGCAGGGTGCTTCGTTGGAGCGAGTCCTTTGTAGAGACGCCGAACGCGGTGCACATTGCCTTCCGCCTTTCGGCAAAACATTTGGGCTCATTGTCCGTCCGGCACAAACAGTTTGTATCGGGGTTCCCTTGTTTGACTCAAACCCCCAAGAACTGTTTTTCCTGGTTTGTCCTATCAGAGCGTGGTTCATTTTTGTTCGGGTTGAGGAACACTTGAGCAGCAGCACGCCTTCAACTGCCCCTTCCAGCTTGCGCGGCTCCCTGAGCCGAAGGCGGCTGCTGCTTGCTTGCGGGCGAGTTTTCATGTGAGAGGGACACCTCGAGCACTCCGGCACTCCAACAGGTCTATGGATTTGGTGTTTGACATGAAGCCAAGTGGGCGTGTCTGGAAAAAATGGGGGGACCCCACCAAAATCATCGGTTTGTCCCTCAAAACGGGGGGTCCCCACCAAAGTTATCTTGTTTTCCCTTGGTTTTCGTCAAAAGCGGACACCCTTTAAAGAGCCCCGGCGCCTCGAAAAGCAAAAGACATCGAAGTCGGGCCAGGATTATGAGGCGCTGCGCGAGAAGGGTATGGCTTCGCTGGTCCGGGCCGTGGAGCGGTCCGGGCGCACCAGCCAGGACCAGAGCGAGCTTGTGCTATGGGTGGTGGGGTGGTGGGGTGGTGCGGTGGTGCGGTGGTGCGGTGGGCCGTTCTTGAAAAAAGTGATTTGTGGCTCATGGATTATTTTTTTCTCCAGCCTCTGGGTCCAGTAGAGTCAAGTGAAGATGTTGAGGGCCTCTCAAGCAATTTTTGGGGTGGTTTCCCTGTAACCGACCACCTAGAACATAATGTTGGGGATGGCACTTTGATGGACCCCGTGGACTGTGAATAACATTTGCTGGGTGCACGAATTCGGAGGGCTCGATCTAAAGGTTGTGGTCTTTGAGTAACTGAAGGTGAGTGGCTGGATGCCACGGGGTGCCACGGACTCGATTGCATCTACCTTTCGCCGCTGGCAGGATTTGCCCTCTCATGCGGATGCTTACACTTTCGAGGTGCGGTTGGCACATCGGGGCCGGGTCCAGGCGAAGAGGTTGCATTCCCTGCCAGGTCCAAGAAGGTGATGTGGTGGTGCTGGGAACCGATGGCTTTTTTGACAACCTCCACGACTCAGAGGCGATTCGGTGCGATTCGGCCAAACTGCAAAGCAGCTCTTGGACATGTCCGAGACTGCGAGGTTTGCCAGCTGGCGCAAGTGGCTATGGAGGCCACATGCCATCTCACCTGGACGCAAGTTCTCTTGAGCTGGCTTGAGTTTATTTGCTGAGTGCAGCAGTCAGTTGTTTGGGGGTCATGCGATCAGTCCAACCAAGCCGTAGTTTAGCTTGAGCCACTCAGAGACTCAATCGAAAGCTGTTTCAGGCAACTTTCCGGAACAAGGAGAAGTCGGCTGCAGCGCAGATTGATCCAACAAGGCCGTTTTCCTCATTTTCTGCCTGCGGCCTTGTTACTTTTTACCGCTCTTGGCAAGTGTGCTCGTCAGGCTGGCTCAGGCCTATGCAGAGGCAGCTCGCGTGCGGTCAGAGGACACCGGTTCCTCAATTGGATGGGTTGGGTGGAGGGAGGTATTACAAGCTTGCATAGCTGCATCTCAGCAACTGAGCACTGTCCCGCACAGACGTCGCTGGAAGCTGATGTCCGCATTTCCAGACAAAACCACTTAACACAGCACCGTCTGAAATCCTAAAGTGATCGAAAGGTTGGGTGCAGATCTCAGACCCCAGGTCTCAGGCTCACACCAGTTTTGGAGCATCCGCAAGACCGATTACACGTCGACGGTGTATCCCAAAAGAAAAGTCTTTCACTCGCTTCAGGACACAGCAGCCCGTACCCCTTTTGGTGACCTCGCACGTCAAGCCGGATTGCAGTGGCGTGGCAAGAAAGGCAGCGTTTGTATGGTTTTGTACTGTTCATGGACCCAGGTGACGTGTTTCGTGATGCCTGTCTCTTTTCTCTGATGCAGCCACTACATTTGGCTTGAGGACATGCTCCAGGCCTCAACATGTCAGATCAAAACGCGAAAAAGGGGCAGGGATTCCTCAATAGCATAACACACCCAGTTGCTTTTGTGTTCGCCTTAGGCATATGGGCGGCAAAATGGATGACATCTCGGTGGTGGTCGCAGTGGTTGTCAAGGCAAAGCCTTGAGACAAGCCCTGTGACCGGCAAGTTTCCATCCGCTTTTTGTGAATCTAAGGAGTTGGCATACCCCAAATGAAGATGCCCCAACATTGGTGTCCCGTGTACACCCCAAAAACCACAAGTCCTGGTGGGGCATGCCCATTTGGGGTAAGCTTGGCCTTAGAGTGAGGCGAATGCCTGATTTGTCAAATGCTCTACACCTTAAACGCCACACTTGGGATAGCTGTGCCGTGGCATTCACCGCGCGGCAAGTCACACAATGTGGCTGCCGGTGTATCATGGCGCGCAAGCATGGCCGAAGCCGTGCGTTTCGATTATCAGTGGGTGGTTGGGTGAACGAGACGCCCGCCAGCCCCCTCATCGTTTCAATCGAAGGGCAAGCCGCGTGTTCCTTGTCCACAGCTGGCCTGGTTGCCGGCGGGTGAATGACGCAGACTGCAAACTGTATCCAATTGGCTGCCATGATGGGCACCAGTCGCTGAGATCCGGGTCGGCAGTGGAAGGCAGATTCCGCCCTTCAATTCGACTGCACATGTGTCAGCCAGCTGCGGTTTAGCTCACCGTGCCACCCGAAAAGCGGAGACGGTCTAGGTGTCTGTAGTCAACGCCTTTGGTGGGAATGGGAACCTGCCCTATGTTTGCAAACCTGCCTAGACCCTCCGATGGTGAGTACTCTGGGATAAGACACAGCCTGGAACTCCCGTGCGCCTTGGGAGGTCTTGACAAAATACACCCCGTCTGCACATGGAGCTTCCATCAGTTTTGGCAAGCGGCGCTTTCGTGCGCTATTTCGTTGTGTGTAAAATAATGACCATTTGGGATGTCACAAGCAACCCTGTGGAAACTTCTGCAGCATGCAGTCCTGGTACATTCGGGCATCGCCTGGTTCCAGTGACTGAGTCTCACCATCCACTAGGCGTGGACAGTGCACGGCAAGCGTGCGAACGCGGGTGCCTGGTGCACCTGGTTTCATTACAGGCAGTCATCATTCTGAACGGAGAAAGGGAACAGTTGGCTCGCCACAGGTGGGGGACCTTTTTTTTTTTTTTGACGTTTCGCTGTTCTCTCAATACATGCGTCTGAGAATGCCGCACGTTCTCCGCAAAGGCTCAAGGGGAGATTCACTTCCACTCGAACAAGTGAAAATCGAATTGCTGATGAGCACCTTGTTTCCACTTCTGTTTTCGCTGAGATGTCTTGGCAACATGTCGTTGGAATCCATATTGGGTTGTGCGCTGAGCTGAGCGCTTTTCGTCTCATTCCCGTCTGGGGTGAGTGACGGCATGTGCGCCCGATCCAAACCTACGGGTCTGAGCAGTCCGAAGGCGCGTGGGGTGCCTCGGGTGAGGCTGAGAGACGTCATGGCAAGGGAGGGGTGCAGGCGGACACGAAGATCTTGGAGCTGCAGCTGCAAAAGATTCTGTCGGCGTCCAGCCACTTGCAGGCGCTCGTGCCGAAAAGTTGGCTTCGTTCGGAGGGTTGCGCCAGCGCTGGAGCGTGAGTTTGCTAGGTCCACGCGCATGCTTCGCTGAAGCTGTTGCTTCGGAAGAAGCTGCGCAGCAAGTCTAACGTGCCTTGACTTACATATCACGTTTCACGTTTGGCACGAGATCATAGTGGAATCCTGGCATCCCGAGACACATGGCCATGGGTCAAAATCCCGTACCCCCCAGTGAGCTTGGCTCCAAAATGGTACCATTGGTTTTGACCCACAGCCACATTTCCTTGGAGTTTCTGACCCGACACATTTCCTTGGGTGGAATTTTGCTTGCCGGACGCCCTGTGGAAATTGCAGCGGCAAGGTCCCTGAGACTCCCACGCCGCTGCCGCTGCCTAAAGTGCTGCAGGACTTGCAACTTGGCTGAGGGTCAAAACCGTTTTGGGATCCCATTTTGGTTGGTAGGTGCACCACCCATTTTAGAACCTATTTTAGTGGTTGGATTGGGATGTTCACTGGGGGTACGCTTTGACTTTTGACCCATGGCCACTTGACGATATCAAAAACACTTCCATTGGTCGTCCATGCTTTGGGTGCTTGCCGGTGTGCTTCTCTACATGGAAGCCAGCTGGAGGTGATGCGAGCATTGAAACCCCACATGTACGGCCTTGTTAGGGGACGTTGGTTGTGCAGCGCTGTCGCTGAAAGATATAAGCAAGGCTTTAGCTAGAGACTGATCTTGCTGCAGCCTCCTCGTTTGACAGGAGGAGGAAGACACCCAGCCGTCCACCTTCAAGAGGTGCCATGGCTGACTGATGCACTTCAGGAGCGGCCCAATTTGACTTCATTCCCGGAGGCAGATTTCTGCTCCAGCTGCTGTGCAGCAGCAGCAGAACCTGGATCAGGAGGCCGTGTCATCTTTTTGCCGCACAAAAATTGGGATTCCAGGTCAAATAACAGGTCAAAAAGATGACGTTGGACAAAAACCAGGTCAACAACAACAAATCTGAGTTGGACATGCCAACAGCCTGCTTTGGCCGTCGGCAAACGAGCAGCCTGCTTTGGTCTCATCTTCTGCACTTCACACAAGTTCTAGGCATGTGATGTGCCAAATGGGTATGCCTTCTATTAGGGTGCTATTTTTTGGGTTGGTTTTGAAGAGAAGTCAAGGAATCGACTCATTAGGGGGCCTCATCATTTCAAGGCAAACCCAGAACCAGTGTTTTGAGACCAAGCGCATTTGGGTGGGAGGGGTCCCTATTTCAGAGCCAGCGCGCCCAGAACCAGTGGACCAGTGCGATCGCATTCGCATGCGCTGCAACGTCAGGTGGCAAAGGAGCTGCAGCCAGAGGAGGACCGCACAGCTCGTTTCAGGGGCAGGGAATATGATTTGTTCCTCACATCCACGGGGCCACCCATTTTTTTTGTTCTCTCGGGAAACCATCGATGACTTTGTTGGGGTCTCACATGTCCAGGCTCCACTTGCGTGGGGAGATGACTGCGTTTTGCGTTTCTCGCAGCATGTTTCCGTGTTCTTGGAATAGCATGTTATGACCGTGCCTCACATGCCAAGCGTGTCACAACGGAGTACTTTTTGGTACTATGTGTCTTGCGTTGCACACCCTTGTCCGTGTAGGAGCGGCCTGTCATGCGCTGGAAGCCCAGTATTCTCAAAGAAGCGCGGCATGCCCGCTAGCAGACTGTGTGATGTTTTTGTCAGCCGTTTTTTCTTTCATTTTTTGGCAGGCCCTTGCTCTCCGTGGGGCCTTTTGTGCCGTCTGCTTTTCCATTTCAATATGGCCGTGGGTCAAAACCAATACCATTTTTGGGTAGGTGAATTCACCACCCATGTTAGAACCTATTTAGTGGTTGGATGGGGATGTTTGACTGGGGCGCTTTGGCTTTTGACCCACGGCGCGCTTCCGAGGCCGCGAGGCCAAAAGCGCCCTGCTGCACGCGGTGACCTGTCCAGGCGTTGAGCAGTTGAGTGGGCCGGATTTTTCTCGGCGTTTGGTGGTTACACGGGAAAAAAACGGCGCTACGCGGGAAGAAGCGCCGCATACATTTTTGCAACACCAGGTTTCTACAGCCCTGCCGATGCTTTTTGTTTTGTTGTTCTGAAGTATGGGTGCTCTTTCTGATTGCTATGCTAAATCGGAGATGCTTTTGTGGCGTCAGAGGCGCACGGTCCCGATCGGATGTTCGAGCTTCCTCTTCTTTGCTTGCTTGCTTTCATTCGACGGACGTCCGTTTCAGGCTATGTTCGTCCGCCCCTTCGGCTGCAGTATGCAACATGAGACCCGATTCTAACGCTGACCCGAAGTGTCTGGCCTTAAACATCTCCGGCTTCCCTTTGCCCACGAGAATACGGATTCCTTTAGACGAATGTCAGCGAATGCCAGATCTTGCGAATGTTTCTCAGGCTGATACCCGTCTACTGGCCAAACTATGTCCTCGAGCTTTTCCAGAATGCGCGTTGCGAGGCTGATTTAGCGTCATGCAGAAAGCGCGTCACAGGGCCTGCGCGCGCCCTTTCCTTGTTCATGCCCTCAGAAGTGGTCGGCGCAAATATAATGTAAAAGTCCTCCAATACTCACAAGAGACTTAGCATCTGAGGCCGGGATATGCCCTTTGTGTCGCTGACGGAGAGCGGCTTCCGCCTGCTGTGCGGTGCATTTCAGATGCCTCACCCACAGAAGGCAGATGTTCAGAAGCTTCTCGGACTTGGCACACCATACAATTTGCGCACCTGTCGTGAAATGAAGCAATACGCTGCGCTCGCGGCAGGCCAGCACCGGTGGCGAGGACAGCCTTTTCGTGTGCCCCAACGGCAGCGCCGCAGGCCAGAGACGAGGAAAGCGTGCAATATGCATACATCATTTGTTCCTTTTCTTGATCTTACCTCTCGCGATTTGAGATTCAGATCACATGGAGCAAGAAAGGAGGTGAGGTGAACCCATGCCCAAAGAACCGCCCAAAAACCTGAAAAGAGTTGCAGGGACGCACCGCATAGGCGTGGCTGATGGGGTTGGCGAATGGCAGTGGCGCTTTGGCCTCGACCCGCGGGCCTTCGCCGATGAGCTGATGCCGCGCTCCAAAAACGGGGTTTTGGAGAGTGACTGCATGCCGACCAATGCCATGAACATTGGAGGGATGAAAGCAAAAAGGCTCTTGCTCAGGCACGGTGCACGCACTGCTGGTGAGCAGACGCAGTTTCAGGCATGTCCGTGTTTGAGATGGGGTTGGCGATGGCCGGCCGACATTTGTCGGTGTTGACCAGGTCGGCTTAGCTGCTGAGACGCGCGCTGCGCTGATGCTCTCGGAGGGGTACCAGGTGTGTCTTGACAGCTTTCGCGGTTTCGAGTTTCGGGTTTCGCGAGGCCACAAGCTCGTTTGGCTCCGCGACCGCCTTGGTGGCAGCGCTGGATCCGAGTGGAGAGGCCAAGTTGGGGGTTGCGAACCTGGGCGACTCGGGCCTGAGGCCGGAGTGAGAGAGAGGTTTCAGGCACAGCACATGCTCACTGCGCAGGGTGCTACGTTGGAGTGAGCCCTCTGTAGACTCGCCCAACTCGGTGCACATAGCCTACCGCCCCTTGGCAGCAACCAGCCAGCCGAACTCAAGGGGCAAGTGTGTTTTCATAGCTCGGTCATCTGAGTTTGGCAAGCAAGGGAAAGAATACGGCTTTGGCAAGGTCCAGACTGTCAAAGCTTGCAATCCATTTGCTTCAGCAAACACGCTCAGCCATATATCTGGTGCTGGGCTTTCTTTGATTGCATTTGTCATTGCATTTGTCTCATCAAGGCTTCCAGAGTCATCCCCAGTCCGGTCGAATAATTTTTCCGACAGATCGGATGCTCGACACAGCATCGGAACTCGTGAGGTACGTCAGAGCAGCAGCATGCTTTCAACTGCCCATTTCAGCTGGCACGGCTTCCTGAACCCAAGGCCGGGGGGAAGAGCTCCAGATATACGGCTGTACCGACTCATTGCTCGAGCAACCTGAGTAGAAAGGGTTGGGCCAAGTTGGTTTGAAACAAGACCTCGGTTTTGTAAGGGAACACCAATGTAGTCAAGCACTCCTAGTTTTTTCTTAGAACCAATTTGCCAGCAATGCCTGGCTCATGGTTGAGTTGTGGCCTTTCACTTCCCACCGGGCGTCCCAGGTTACGGGGATTCTTTTAGGGGAACACCCCCATAATAATGGAACCACCAGGGGACCGCAGCTTGTCCATTTACCAAGGTTGATTCTTGGGTACCCATTTTTGACCTGCAGAACCATGTAAAGAGTCAAAAAGGCCGGCTGGCCACGCAACGCGCCAGGACTATGCGGGACTCCGTGCTCAGGGCATGGGTTCTTTGGTGCGGGCGGTGGAGAAGTCGGGCTGCTCCAGTCAGGCCCCGGATCCGCGGACTTGGCTGTGGGGATCTAGTTGAGCCACAATCATAACCCGGGTAGATGAAGGTTAAGGGACAATCCCGGCCATTTGTGGTTGCCGCCCACTACAGCTTTTTTTCGTCTCCGGCTCTCCGGCTCCGGCCCGGCTCCGGCCCGGCTCCGGCCCGTCTCCGGCTCCTTCTCCGGCTCCGGCTCCGGCTCCGGCCCGGCTCCGGCCCGTCTCCGGCTCCTTCTCCGGCTCCGGCTCCGGCACGGCTCCGGCTCGGCTCCGGGCCGGCTCCGGCCCGTCTCCGGCTCCTTCTCCGGCTCCGGCTCCGGCTCCGTCTCCGGCACGGCTCCGGCTCGGCTCCGGCCCGGCTCTGGCCCGGAGGGCTTGTGTAACCAAGATTGATACTGTTGCAAGCGAGACACTCCAGTCTCAAGCGCGAAAAATAGAATGTCACCAGCAGGCATAGATCTCCCGAGAAAAAGGCTGTGCATAGGCCTGTTGTAGGGTCCAGGCAAGGGGGTTGGCAGGCCTTTGAGAGGGCGTACGCAGAGAGGTGCGTAGGCCTTGGGCAGGGTGTAGGCCAGGACGTTGGCCTTTGCCAAGGTTGAAGGGACGGGGTTTCGTAGGCCTTCGGTAGACACTAGACAAAATTCTACGTTGGTCCTACAGCAGGCCAAGAGCAGGCCCACAGACAGGGCTCCAGCCCAGAAGAGGGCTACGTGATAGGGTTTCGACAGGCCTTGAAGAGAGCTACGCGCAAAGGGTCGGCAGGCCTACCCCTTGATTAGGCCTAGGACAGGCCAACGCAAGCGGAGGCAGGTCTAAAAGAAAATCGCAAAAAGCGATCCAGAATGCGCGAAATGAGCCGGCCGGGGACGAGCGTGCAGGTAACACGCCGCTAGCAAACGGAACGCTCAAAGGAACCAGAGAAAACTATATCCGGGGGCAAGAGAGAGTCGCGCGCGGCAACGGCGCGCATCTTGAGATGCAACGGCTGCGTCGCAGTATTTGTTGCGCTGGAAGTCGCATGTAAGAGCAAGATGCGGGCGATGTGAGGCCTCGTTTGGAGAGGCATTTCAAAGCTTAGCGCAATCTGTCTTGGCGGCTTGCGTACGTGCGTGCGTACGTACATACGTACATACAAACATACACACATACATGCAAACACACATACACACATACATGCATACATGCATACATGCATGTATGCATACATACATAACTTCATGCATGCATGCACACACACACATGCATACATTACATTCCATTCCGTTCCACTGCGCTCCGTTCCATTACACTGCATTACAGTCCAGACATACTTTACATTACAGCACAGTACATTACATTACATTACATTGCATCACATTACATTGCGTTACGTTTTATTGCAACACATTACATCACACAAAAAATACATGGCCACATACATACCAACATATATACATACATATTACATGACATGACATGACATGACATTACATTACATTACATTATGTTACATTACATACATACATACATGACATACATACATTACATACATACATACATACATACATGACATACATACATTACATACATACATACGTTACACTACACTACATTAGGTTACATTACATTACTTTACACAATACACACATACATATGTACATATGTACGTACATCTACACATTACATAATTACATACATACATACATTACAACAGTACATAAAACATACATTACAGAATTAGGTACACACATACATTACGTTGCAACACAATGCAGTACATTAAATTTCATTACACTCCATTATGTTACATTACATACAAACAGACATACATTACATAACTACATACATACTTACATACACACACTACATAATTACATACTTACATACATACATTTTTACACACATGCATACATACATATATTTCATAGTGACACACATACATGCATACAGACATACATACATACATACGTACATACGTACACACACACATACGTACGTTACATTCCATTACATTGCATTACATTACATGTCATGACATTAAATTACATACATACATGTACACATGCATGAATGCATGCATGCATACATACATACAGTACGCACATTACATACATACATACATACATACATAAATGCACACACACATCCATGCATACATCACACACACATTACATACATACATACATACATACATACATACATACATACATACATGCATGCATGCATGCATGCATACATACATACATTACACACATACATACATACATACATACATATACATATGCATAGGAAGAACAACACATACAGACATATACTACACTACACGGCACTACATTACATTACATTGCATTACACTACGCAACATTACATATTTACATTACACACATACATTACATACATACCCACACACATACATACATACAAATACGATACAAGACAATACAAAACAATGCAATACAATACAATACAGTACATACATACATACATGAATACTTTGCATACATACGAACACACACATACAGACATGCATACATAACATACATACATACATGCATGCCGACAGTACATTACATTACATTACATGACATACATTGCATACATACATACATACAAACGTACATAGAAACACACATGTGTACATACATGCATACATACATTACATTACGTCAAATTGCAATACACTACTTTACATTGCATAGCACTGCACTGCATCACATTTCAGAACATTTCATCACATTACATTACATCACATTACATTACATACATTCAGACATGCATACATTGCATTGCATTTCACCACTACACTACATTACATTACATGACATTACATACCTTACATACATACATACGTACATACATAGTTTCACTACATACATACATACATACATCACGTTACATTACATACAGTTACGTTACATTACATACTTACATAGTTACATACATACATTACATACATACATCCATACATACATCCATACATACATCCATACATACAGCCATATATACATACATACATCCATACATACACACATACATTACATACATGCATTACATACACACATTACATACATGCGTACATACATACATACATACATACAAACACACATTACATACATGCATACATACTTACATACATGCATTACATACATACATAGATGCATACATTATATTGCATAACATTGCATTACATCACATTACACACATTACAGTACATTACATTACATTACCTTACATTACATTACATTACATACACACATTACATACATACATACACACATTATATACATGCGCACATACATACATACACACATTACATACATGCATACACACACATACACACATACATACGTACTTACTTACATACACACACATACATACACACATACGTACATACATACATTACATACATGCATACATCCATACATACATACATCCATACATACATACATACACACACTACATTACATTACAGCACATTTCGTTACATTACGTTACATGACTTTTAATACACACATTACAGACATACATACATACATACATACATACATTCAAATACAGACATACATACGCACACACATACATTACATTACATACATACATACATACCTACATACATTACATACCATACGTACATACATACATTCATGCATGCATGCATACATGACACACATTACATACAGTACATTGCATGACACTACATTACGTTACGTTACGTTACGTTACATTACATACTTACATACTTACATACACACATTACCTACATACATGCATGCATACATACATTACACACATGCGTACATACATACATCCATCCATGCATACATACATACATACATACATACATTACATACGTGCATTACATACATGCATTACATACATACATACATACATGCATAGGAAGAAAAAGACATACATATATATTGCACTACACGACACTACATTACATTACATAGCATTATATTACGTTACACTACATAAATACATTACATACATACATTACATACGTACACACACATACATACATACAAATACAAGACAAGACAATACAAAACAATGCAATACAACACAAGATAGTACATACATACATATATGAATACGTTGCATACATACGAACACACACATACAAACATTCATACATACATACATACATGCATGCCGACAGTACATTACATTACATTACATTACTTACATTGCATACATACATACATACAAACGCACATAGAAACACACATGCGTACACACATGCATACATACAGTACATTACGTCAAATTGCAACACATTACTTTACATCGCAGTGCATTGCGCTGCATCACATTACATTACACCACATCACATGACATTACATACACTCATACATACATACATTGCATCGCATTACACTACACTACACTACATAACATTACATTACATGACATTACATTCCAAACATACATACATACTTACATACGTACATACATACTTTCATTACCTTAATTCATTCATACATACAGTACATTACGTTACGTTACATTACGTTACGTTACATACATACATACATACTCACATACATACATACTTGCATACATACATACGTACATTACATACATGCGTACATACATACATACAAACACGCATTACATACATACATACATACATACATTACATACATACATAGATACATACATTACACACAATACATACATTGCATTACATTACGATTCCATACATTACATACATGCGTTTCATACATACATACATACATTACATTACAGTACATTACATACATACATTACACACATGCGCACATACATACATACATACATACACACATTACATACATACATACATACATACATACACATACATACATACATACATACATACACTACATACATGCATACATACATACCGTTCATACATACATACATACATACATTACACACATACACTACATACATACACACATACGCACATACATACATTACATTACATTACATTACATACATACATACATACATACATGCATTACATACAATACATACATACGATACTTACATGCATGCATACATGACATACATTACATACATACATTACATTACATTACATGACATTACATTACGTTACTCTACGGTACATTACATACTTACATACTTACATACATACATTACGTACATACATCCATACATCCATACATACATCCATACATACATACATCCATACATACATACATACATTGCATACATGCATTACATACATGCGTTACATACATACATACATACATACATACATTACATACATGCATACATACATACCATTCATACATACATACATACATACATACATACGAACACACACATACATACATACTCTACATTGCATTACATTACATTTCGTTACATTACATTACATTACATTACTTTACATACACACAGTACATACATACATACATACATACATACATACATACACACATACGCACATACATACATTACATTACATTACATTACATTACATTACTACATTACATTACATTACATAAATACATACATTACATACCATACATAGATACATGCATGCATGCATACATGACATACATTGCATACATACATTACACTACATGACAGTACATTACGTTACGTTACGTTACATTACATACTTACATACATACATACATACATTACATACATACATCCATACATACATCCATACATACATCCATACATACATACATCCATACCTCCATACATTACATACATGCATTACATACATGCGTTACATACATACATACATACATACATACATACACACATACATACATACATACATACATACACACATACACACATACACACATACACACATACATTACATACAAATATACATACATACAAAAATACATACATACATACATACATACATACATACATACATACATGCATGCATGCATACATACATACATACATACATACATACACACAAACAGACAAACATACATACATACATACAAGCAACATTATGTGTTCGTGTGTGTGTGTGCTTCTTAAAGTTTAGGGATTGGAATACACACAGTATGGACAACAATTGAAGTTTCGCCAGCTCCGGGGCTCTGGCTGGCTGGCTCCACGTCTCCGGCTCTCGCTCCGCCCAGTCCAGGCTGCAGCTCCAACCGGCTCCGACCCGTCCCACTCTGGCTGGCTGGCTGGCTTCGTCCGGCGGCTCCAACCAGTCTGGCCAGGCTTTGGCTCTCACTCCACGGCTCCGGCCCGGCTCCGGCTCCAACTCCCGCTCCGGCCGGCTCTGAACTTCGGAGCGTAGGTGGCCACGTAGCTGGAGCAGGTTGCGCCGGCCGTCCGCCATCTCACACTGGCCCGGCTCCGGCCCGGCTGGCGCTCGCTCCGTTCCGCTCTGGCCCGGCTCCGGCCCGGCCCCGCTTCCGCCCCGCTCTGACTCTGGCCCGGCTCCGGCCCGGCTCCGGCCCGGCTCCGGCCCGGCTCCGGCCCAACTCTGACACTCACTCCGCTCCGCTCTGGCCCGACTCTGGCCCGGCTCCGGCCCGGCTTTGGCGCTCACTCCGCTCCGCTCTGGCCCGGCTCTGGCGCTCACTCCGCTCCGCCTTGGCCCGGCTCCGGCCCGGCCCCGGCTCCGGCCCAGACTCAGCTCCCGCTTCCGGCCCGCTCTGACTCTGGCCCGACTTCCGGCCGGCTGTACTCCGGCTCCGGCCCGGCTCCGGCCCAGGACAAAAACAAGCATTCCCCTTGCCGCCTTCTTAATTCCTTACATGGTTCTGGGTTCACCATTTTTGTACCAGGTTTTGCTTCTGACTCCAGTTGAGCGTTCTCAAGATTTGCCTTTGAGGGCTTTGTTTGGAATCAGGATGGGATTTGAGGAATTCCCTTTGTTTTGGACACTCGTGAACTGTGGGAATGATCGAATGCTCCACTACATTTGGTGCGTTTTTCAGGAGGCTTGATGGTGTTGGTGGTTTGGGGACGAGTCTTTTTTCTGGGGGGGAGGTTTACATATTATTGGCTAGGAATTTTAGTGCGGAACCTCCTGAAAAGTGGTTGGTGGACATCTAAAACCCACATATGCTGTGATTCTGTCGCGCTTGCGACCAGAATGCTGGCCTGAACCCGTGGCCACGAAGCCTGGTTCCCAGCCCTCGTCAGGACTTGCCCGCTAGCGCGGATGCTTATACCTTCGAGGTGGGCTGGCACAAGGACGGGCCAAGAAGTTGCATTTTCCGTGCCAGGTCCAAGAGGGTGATGTGGTGCTGCTGGGGACAGATGGCTTTTTTGACAACCTCCACGACGCAGAGGCGCAAATGCTTTGCCAGCCTTTCCTTTCGGGGTGGTTCCCCTTTAGCACTCTTTTGACAACCGCGCGGCGGAGGATGTCACTTTGGACCCAGTCCCTGCGAGGTTTGCGAGTTGGCGCACTTATCTCTTGAGGCCAGACAGGGAGCGCAGGTGCTATTGATGCAGAGATCTCACAAAAGTCAGATATGGCAAACGATGGCATAGGGAAGCGCTGAATTCTGCCAGAATTTCCAAAGGCTTTGCACTTCGAGTCCAGCACTTGCAAGGCGACTTTCAGGAGCAACGAGAAGTCTGCGTGGCAGATCGACCCAACAAGGCCCTTTTGTCTCCTGCCATTGGGTCGCGGATCTTTAGACTTGAAACTTTTGGTTGAAATCTTTGGGGGTTCAGTGGAAAACTCCCGAAAAATTGTCAACTTTTTGCAGAGGGGTCGTTGCAACCAAGATTCTTGCTTGAGCTGCTCTGGTGGGTGAGTTTGTGTGGCTGTGGTGCCTAGAGTCTCCATGACTCCATGACCCAAAAAAACAACGGGGTCATCACCCGAAGCCTCGCCGGCGCTGCGCCGTTTGCCTTTCCCCAGGTTGGCCCAGGCCTATGCGGAGGCAGCTCGCGTGCGCTCGGAGGAGGGATCTTCCGGCGGTGGTTGTTCGGATGTTTCGTGTGGCCGACTGCAAGCGTCGAGAAAGGGGGATCCGTAAGCAAAACCCGAAAAGGGACAGTCCCTGGTTCTTTACATTGGTTTGGGTGGGTGTTTTTTAATGCCTGGTTTTGATTGTGACTCATGTATGCATTCAAGGAAATTGGCTACTTTGACAGGATACCGCAGCCCGGACCCCCTTTGGCGACCTCGCACGTCAAGCTGGATTGCAGTGGCGTGGTTCTGCATCAAAGGGATGTCGCTGCTTGTGCCGCTGTCTTGCACATCCAGCAGTTGACCTGCGCCAAGGCACATGGGTGGCAAGATGGACGACATATCCGTGGTTGTGGCAGTTGTCGTCAAGGTTTGAGAGAGAGCAGTTGATCCCAGTGCTGTCCACCGGCAGCTTTGTCAGGCCTAAAATGCCCGAAGTGCATTACAGTATTTTTAGAACCTTGCAAAGCGCGTGCTTGGCCATGTCACACAACGTGACTGCCAGTATGGGTGGACGCGATGCAGGCGCACACAGCTCACAGCACCCAAGCTTTGCATCCCGGTAATTCAGCCACAAGGACGGGCCAAGATAGGGGAGCCCTCAGGGGACCTATCCGTTCAGCTCCTCATCGTTTCAAGAGCGCAGGCCATGTATTCCAGTGCCCCACTGCTGTTCTGGTGTCTTTAGGACGTGCAGGTGATGGACATGGTTCAACAGCCATGTCAGCTTTGCATATTGTTTGCATTGTTTGCAGACGGGCACTTGTTTTGCTTGTCTTCTTTTGCTCCGGGTATTTCAAGCGCCATCCTTCAAGTCCGGCAGTGGAAAGCAGAATTCGATCGCTTGGAGAGCTCGAGTATCAGAGATCGCTTCGACGCCTGTGAAGCACTCTGCCAGTCACCGACAGACCTTGTCGGGCAGGGCCGGCGCACAAATTGTTTGGGGAGAAGGCAGTGCCGTGCACAAATTGCGCACACCTGGGGAAGGAACCAAGGAGCCACAAGCTGACCGATTCAGCGGATGATCTGCCCGGACATGCTGGTTGTGACTGAGAGAGGCTGGAAGCAGCTTGGAACTCCCAAAGAAGCAATTTGGGACTTGTCAGAATGTGTATGCTTCACACAGAACATGCCAATGGAACTTGATTGACATTAGTACATTGGCAAACAGCTTGGCAGTCAGGCTGTTGACCTTCTTGCATTGAATTTGTGGATTTGAGCAAGTTCCTTCAGATTGGCAACTTCTGCGCAGCACACTGGTGGCGGGCTGATTTGCCCGTCTCCAGTGCTTGAGTCTCACAATCCACAAAGAGTGGAGGCATCGTCGTGCACAGGAGGACAGATGGTTTGGCCATGCCCAAGGGAAGCCGCAGGCCCTGCCAAGCCAAGAGAAGAAACGCTGCAATGCAATTGATATGCAAGGTCACGACCCCACGAGTCAGGGCGTTCAGCAATGAATCACCTTCGCCAAGATCATTTCGGCCGGCGCCAGGATATTGTACAAGCTGGCAACATCCGCACAATGGTCCCTTTTGCCCCTTGCTTTTGAAAGTGGACATGTTGCTGCCCCGGGCTCTGCATCTGACAAATCTGTATCCTGTATCCTCGCCTTTTTCGAGAGCCATGTAGCGCATGACCTGACGCGTCAAGTTTCCGGCGCAAGCTTGGGGCCTTTGTTTACAGTGCAGCAGCATCGAGCGCTGGAATACGTTGTGTTTTGAACAAAGGCAGTCTTGGTGGTTTCCCTTTGTGCTTCGAAGTGCAAGGGTGTTGCTTCTGAGAAATGAGCAACTGACAACATTGTTTTAGCAGTTTATGGCTGGTTCGGGGAGCACTGCGACCCCCCCCCCAAACCTCCACAAATACCTGCAACACGATTCCAATCTTCTCATTTATTCTTGGAGAGAGAATGCAGCTATCTCCACGCGTGCTCACCATATAGGCAGGCTCTCTCTCTTGTGTCTTGATGCATGTGTGGAATTGGGCGAAAGATCTGCCTCCTCTTAGCTTGCGCCTAGGCGGTGTCGTGCGGGGCGAACAGTTTCTGCAAACTCCGGCCCTGCAAGGCTTGGCATCTTGCGCAGAGCTACCTCGAGCGTGTTTGCTGGTCACCGGCGCCGCCGCAAATTTTGGCGCGTTTGATTCCGCGAACTCGAAAATCGAGCCCCGAAATCCATTGCTGGTTGGGTTGCGGGTTGAAGGGGCCTTTCTGGTTCATGGAACTCCGGCTGGGCCTCGGTGACCAGCTCGCATGGTTTTAAGAACTAGGCTCGCAATGAGATGATCACTCTTCTTCTGGAGTCAAGGGCGGTGCAAAAACCGTGCGGAACCTGCCGGCTCCTCTCGATTCACAGGGAAGGAAAGACACGAGTCGCCGCTTTTTGTGCATCTGCACCTTCGAAGAAGTCAAAGCGAAAGTCAAAGTCGCAGTCTATTTTCCCAGAGCCTTGGATCATGCCGGCGGCAGACGCCGGCATGTCCCTGCTATTTAAGCAAGCCAAGCGCTTCGCCCAAAGGCAGGCTTTCGTGGTCACGATTGATACAGACGCCGGGCATGGTCAAAGCATGGGTGCAGTGGCAAGGATGCTGGGCCGTTCATCTTTTGCAGAGCCATTGGACCCAGGTGGGTGTGCGTCAAAATTAAACCACCAGAAAACCCCAGGTTGCAGTCCATGTTTCCATTTACCAGGGCAACCCATTTTCGGGATTCCTATGTTTGACCTCGATTTACCAAGGGCAACCCATTTTGGGGATTCCTATGTTTGACCTCCATTTACCAAGGGCAACCCATTTTGGGGATTCGTATGTCTGACAACCACAGCTTTGGGATTTTTCTGCCGGCACTCATGCGCTCGGCCATGGGGTGAGCTCGCAGCCGTCGCCCATTTTCCAACTCCGACGGCCATGAAGGAACACCCGGAGCTGTGCAAGTGATGCAGGTTTTTCTGTGGCGATCAGCATTGCAAGTCGCATTTCCACTTGGACAGCCCTCTCCCAGCCGTGACACACGTCTTTGTGCTATCCATGGCAGGAACAGATGTCAATGGAGCAGCCATGGATATTCGCAGAGGGACGCAGTGGGATTCTTTTTGCCGCTGCGAGCCCAAAGAGTTTGTAAGATGGCTGCTTTCGAGCCACGCGATAGCCAATGGGCCAAAGGCCTTGGTGATGCAGTGACGCGACTGAGACATGGCGCGAGTTTACGACAGAAACCACGTGAAGCTTCGGTGCCTCACTGACTCACCTGGCGGAGCAAATTTGGCTTCTTGATTTGAAGCGACAAGCTATGCCATGTCTCGGCTAGGCTTGCCCAATCTTCAGGCGGTGAGACTCATGGAAACCCCATAGGTATAGAGAAAAACAGAGCTCGCGGCACGGGACTAGAGATGGGCAGTGAATGTGCAAGCGAGCTTTGGATGTTTAGACCACTCGATGGTCATTCTTCACTCCATTTGCATGAAGCTTTGCTTCCCTGTTTCATTGAAGCAAACTGAATTACGCAGCCTTCCAGCTCCACTAGGAATTCCAGTCCTCTTGCAGGCGATTTCTGGTACGGCCAGATAGTTGCTGAGATTATCCATGGGGTGAGACAATCAGTAGATGTCGTATTCGCGCAATTTGCAGTTCGCACGCCCCAATGCAAATTGATTGTTCAACGTGTGTGAGTGTATGTTTGTGTGTGTGTGTGTGCGCGTGTGTTTCTTTTTGTTCTCTGTTTTTTTCTTCTCCGCGTGTGTGTTGGTGCTTTGGAGGGCCACGCCTTTGAAATACTTCTTGCTCAGAAGTGATCGGTCCCGATCGTTGGCTCGCAGCATCCAGTGTGGCATTCAGCACAACGCCTCGTCATCACCTCAGCTCGCAAGTGGTGAATTTTCATGCGGAACGCAGTTGGGAAGAATTGCCCTCCCACCAGCAATCCCTCATCATTCAATCCCGCACGCGGCTAGGTGCCAAACATGCTGAGTGCGATTTTCTGCTTCGTGGTCGGCACAGGCCGCGCCGCATTCTCGCGAGACGCGGCGTTTCGTTCCTCCGTTTCGCCCGGTTCCGTCGTGTCGCGCGGAAGCCGAAGACGAGATTTTGGGCGGCGAGGCATCGGGGCCTACAACGCCGAAGAGCTGAAGCCCTGCCTGGGCGGCACCGGGCCACTCGGCGGAGGGCGAGCCGGGATCCTTCCGCTCCGAATCCGAATCCCAGGAAGCTGGTGGTGCAAAAGGGCGCTCCGGCGCGGCTGGCGAGCTTGTTTTTTTTTGCAAGGGCCGATAAACATGTCAAAATGTTTGGCTGTTGGTTGGAGTTTGTTGGATCTACATCCTGTTCAAGTGACGTAGTGTCTGCTTTTCTGGAGGAGACCCGTTTTGGGTGGTTCTGAAAGGACACCACGAGCAAAAACACATTCTTTTTCGTTCTGGGGGGCCTCATTTTGAGAGACGCGCCCACATGAGAGGGTATCCCGGATCTGGCAGGTGGCCAAGCAGATCTCTACCAAGGTGCAGGCAAACGCCCAGCACGCGTCCCAGTGTTCGAGAAGCAATGTGGGGTAGACTGGGATCCGGAGATTTTTTGCTTTTTACGACTGCCCGTGTTTTTGGATTAAGGCCATACGTGCAGATGGCGCAGGCGCGAGCCCCTTGCGCGCTACCTTGCATGCTACTTTGTGCCCGGTCGGGCGGACATCATTTGCAGCCAGGACAAGATCAACGAGATTCGCGCGTGACTCAATGTCGGAATTGTGTCCTCTCTGTCACTGGCAACGGAGTGCATTTCACTGCTTTAGTTCCACTGCATGCGAACTGCACTCAGGAGGCAAAAAATGAGCAGAATGCGCAACCCTTATTTTCCACTGCGAGTTGGCAAGCTTTCTGGCTTCACAATCCTCGAGCCAAGTGTGTCTGCAAGCGCGTCAACTTTCTTGCAGCTGTAGACAGAAGATCCCTACAGCATGCATGACCCTTGGGAGGTCTTCCATTCATCCCAAGAACCAAAGATCATGACAAGGAGGACAGAAAAACTAGATACATCAACAAACAAAATAACCATATGGCTGATTTTATATATGCTTATTGATCTATTTTTATTATTATGAATTATTTCTTCTTCTTTTTTGTTTAAATATTTTATAGATTATTTTTATTTAGATTTTTTTTGGGGGGGTTATATTATATATATTTTTAAAATTATAGAAATTTGGAAAACAATAAATATATATATATCTATATAAGAATTATTTAAATTATTTTTGTATTGAAATATGAAGGGATATATTTTTTGTTTTAATATTGATGAATATTTTATTATGATTTTTTTGGTTATTTATTTTACGAAAATTGGTTTGCAAATATATAATTTGAGGGATTGTTATAGGAATGTGGAGAGCCCTAAAATATTACCGATATTTCGGAGGAATTGCTTAGAATTTCCGTGATATAAATTGGCCGAATTTTGGGGGAACTCTATCACCTCCGCAAATTTCTTTAGATTTTGATGGCTTTGCAAAAAAAATACCGGGGAAATTTGGAATTTGATTTTTTCGAACATATTATTGTGTTCTTGCCTCTTTTTTCGTAATTTGTTTTTATATATTTTTTTTTGTTTTGTTTATTTTTATGATTTTTTATGAATTTATTTCTTTTGTGTTTCTTTGTCTTTATTTGTCTGTTTGTGTTTCTTTGTTTTTTGGATTGTCTCGATTTATT